TGAGAGACGTGAGAGACGCGAGAAATGAGACATGAGAGACTTGAGAAACATGAGAGACATGAGAAATGAGAGACATGAGAAATGAGAGACATGAGAAACATATGAGACATTAGAGACATGAGAGACGTGAAAGATGTGAAGGATATGACACAAGAGGGACATGAGACACATGAAAGACATGAGAAATGAGACATGAGAGACATGAGAGACGTGAGAGACGTGAGAAATGAGACATGAGAGACTTGAGAAACATGAGAGACATGAGAAATGAGAGACATGAGAAATGAGAGACATGAGAGACGTGAGAGACATGAGAAATGAGAGACGTGAGAGACATGAGAAATGAGAGACGTGAGAAACATATGAGACATTAGAGACATGAGAGACGAGAAAGATGTGAAGGATATGACACAAGAGGGACATGAGACACATGGAAGACATGAGAGACATGAAGGATATAAGACATAAGAGACATGAGAGACATGAGAGACCTGACCCATACGAGATGTGAGGGACATAAAAGACATAAGATTCCTGATTTCAGATTAAACATAAATGAAAACTGTCAAATTTAGCTCATGCTGTGAATCATGGGTAATGTAGTTCTCTGTGTGCAGTGACTGCTCCCCAGGTGTCTCTGAGTTTATGAACCATGAGGACGCTGTGATGAATCCCTGCAGCCATCATTTGTTCCAGCAGCAGCAGCTCCTTCAGTCCCACAGAGTCTCCTCTCTCCTCCATCCATCAGAGCTCTCGTCTTTAATGAAGCAGTCTGCAGGAGGAGGTGATTCTTCACAGACTTACAGCCTCATTACAGAAACACAGTCACACCTAAACCCACCTGAGACTCACCTTACTGTCAGACTGAGGCCGAACCCAGATCCATCTCTCACATCATCTTCATTCATCTGAGAGTTCATCATCACGCAGACACTGCAGCATCAACATCAGGAGCTTCTGAGAGCACTTTGTCCAATTAATGAACCAAACGTACTCTGGTTCTTGTTTTCTGCTTCATTCTATTTTCTTTAACTCTATGAGGGGACTCTTTGTAAAATCCACTCGCTCTGTGAGACCGGCAGCTTTCAGATGAGAAACTCATCCAGGAGATTTTCAACCCCACAGAGAATTTCCAGATCCAGATCCAGGCGACCTGAGAGGGTTCATGTTTTCGTTTAGCTAGAGTTTAGCTAAACAGAGTATAGAAATAGAACAGGTAGACTTCAGGAGCCGATAGATGAGTTTGGTGTTCATCTGAAAAGTTTGGACTCGTCTCCTCCTGGTTTATTTTTAGGACTGGTTTGGACTGGGAGAGAAATTCAGCTGAACTAGTATCTGTTCACTTGGTCGCCATGGAAACTGGATGTGTATTTGAAGTGTGTACTCCAGTGACAGCAGCTGTGTGAGAGTGTATTTTTACTGTCTTTGCCTGCTGGTCTCCTCTCTCGGAGTTTTGAAGTTAGTGAGTTTTCACACTTCATCACTCCAACACCTCAGACTCAGATGAAACCTGACACCTGTGATGTGAAAATACAGGTATAGAAGACCAGGTCAGACCGTCTCTGGACCAGCTGATTCACAGACCCAGACACAAAGTCACTGAAACAAAAACGTCCAGGAGGATAAAGTCAAAAAACCTGCAGTTCCTCTTGTGTCCTGCAGAGGGTCAGTCCAAACAGAGATATCTGAGCTCCGCTCTATAGACAAAACCATAAAACTAAAAAACTATAAAACTGTAAAAGTACAGAACTATAAAACTAAAAAAACTATGAAACTACAAAACTATAAAACTAAAAAACCATAAAAGTAGAACCCTTAAAAAATATAAAACTGTGAACCTTAAAAACTGTAAAACTTTAAAACTATAAACTGTTAAACTATAAAATTGTAAAACGTAAAAACTACAAAAAAAAAAAAACAATAACTGGATGTTTTAAAGTTGTATAGTTTTTTTTTTTATCTATATGCTTTATAGTTTTTATGTATATGTTTATAATTTTATAGTTTTTTGTGTATATGTTTTATAGTTGTATCGTTTTTATATAATGTTTTATTTAGAGTATTTATATATCTTATAGTTTTATAGATTTGTTTTAAAGTTTTACAGTATTTTTTACTATCTTTTATAGTTATAGTTTTTATATATGTTTTATAGTTTTAGAGTTTTTATGTATATGTTTCATAGTTTTTTGTTTTTTTATATAAATCTTTTATAGTTTCATAGTTTTTATGTAAATGTTTTATAGTTTTTATGTGTATGTTTTTATAGTTTTTATGTATATGTTTTTATAGTTTTATAGTTTTTATGTATATGTTTCACAGTTTTTTGGGTTTTTTTTATGTATATGTTTTACAGTTTTTTGTTTTTTTTCTATGTATATGTTTTTATAGTTTAATAGTTTTTATTTATATGTTTTACAGTTTTGTTTTGTTTTTTAATGTATATGTTTCACAGTTTTTCGGGTTTTTTTTAATGTGTATGTTTTTATAGTTTAATAGTTTTTATTTATATGTTTCACAGTTTTTTGGGGGTTTTTTATGTATATGTTTTATAGTTTTTTGTTTTTTTTCTATGTAAATCTTTTATAGTTTTTATATGTTTTTATAGTTTAATAGTTTTTATCTATATGTTTTACAGTTTTGTTTTGTTTTTTAATGTATATGTTTCACAGTTTTCGGTTTTTTTTTATGTATATGTTTTTATAGTTTAATAGTTTTTATTTATATGTTTTACAGTTTTGTTTTGTTTTTTAATGTATATGTTTCACAGTTTTCGGTTTTTTTTTATGTATATGTTTTTATAGTTTTATAGTTTTTATTTATATGTTTTACAGTTTTTCACTCGGCTGTTCCGGATGATTCCTCTTCTTTAAAAGCTGTTTGTTTCTCTGCCTCATGTTTGCCTCAGTGTGTCTTTAAGAGCCGATCACTGGGGCCTCGTGTTCGGGGCCGTTGGCATGGAGACTAATTAGCTCTGATTTTTCACACTTAGCTGTCAGGTGTGTGTGTGGTTGGAGGTAAACTCCTTCAGATGTTAGTGACTCTGTCGGTCCGATCTCACACACACCAGTCTGGTTGATTTATGAGGATTTCACCGCCGAGGAAGCGACCTTCGCTGGTGACCTCGCTGTTGACCTTGCTGGTGACCTCCCCTGTTGACCGCCTCTCTCTGTTAACATGGAGGGTAAAAACTCTCTCCTGTCATCTAAACGCCCCCGGTTGGATTCTTTAATGGAACCTCTGCCGTCACACACTCTCTGTTCAGGGTCTGAGGAGCTATCCCAGCATGCACTGGGTGAGAGGGCGTCATCCAGCCGTCCCGGAGCTGGAACGCCTCGAGAGTACAATACCAATAGCATTCACATTAACCGCCTGGATCACACCTGCAGACCATACCTGAGACCTGAGACCTGCGGTCATGAAAGGGTTAAGAGAGGCGAGGACTCTCGTGTCTCTAAGAGGAGATTTTTTTATTTTTAATAAATGAGTTTCAAAGTTAAAGAGTCGATCAGGGACAGGAGTCTAATCTGAAGAGGACAGAGAGGGTGAAGCCTGGTACTCACTGAAAGAGAGGGAGAGAGAGAGAGAGAGAGAGGGAGGGGGAGAGAGAGAGAGAGAGAGAGAGAGAGAGAGAGAGAGAGAGAGGGAGAGGGGGAGAGAGAGAGAGAGAGAGAGAGGGAGAGAGAGAGCGAGAGAGAGGGAGAGAGAGAGAGAGAGAGAGAGAGAGAGAGAGAGAGAGAGGGGGAGAGAGGGAGAGAGAGAGAGAGAGAGAGAGAGAGAGAAGAGAGAGAGAGAGGGAGGGAGAGGGAGAGAGAGAGAGAGAGAGAGAGGGAGAGAGGAAGAGAGAGAGAGAGAGAGAGGGAGGTAATGGCAGGAGATGACTGCTGTTAAAGTGAACGCAGCTCAAACTAAAGCTCAGGGCGATCATTTTTCATTTTATCTCATATTCATCGTTTAAAAGTTTTAAAGTTTTATTTGTAGTTTAATAGTTTGATCAGTTTGATTCATAGTTTGATAGTTTTATTTCAAGTTTAATAGTTTTACAGTTTTAAAGTTTGACAGTTTTCACATTTTGACGTCATCGTGATGTGTGCGTCACACAGAGGTCTGTTTACAACCCTCTGAAATCTTCCTCATGTGCACAGGTGTGATTGTATAAATGGTACATCTGTGACGTACATGTCTACAGCAGCAGAGTCACGCCTGTTTCATTATTAGCACGGGTTCAAACACACGACTTTTCCCTCCATGACACGGCGTTCAAATGTTTGAGATGCAGACCGTCACTAAAGCACTAGAGTTCAGTTTCATCCAGATGTTGAATTCTCTCTCAGTATTTTGACTTTTTTCTCTCCCACATTAAAAAAGCAGCTCAGACCTGCTGCTTTCAGAACATGTTGGAGGACTAAATGAAGAGAAAAATCCCTCAAAGACGCTGATTTCTAAAGGAGGAGGAATTAAAGCAGCAGCAGCAGCAGCGTGAGTATGACAGCGAGGCTTCATTCACACTGAAAAGAGGAGAAACGCTCGACTCTGAGGACATCTTCTCACCTAACCTGATGGATTCATGCTCGGGCTCTAAAAACAGGAGCTCTCGCCTCCTGTGGAGATTTAGTTTGAGTTACATGTTGTGGCCTTTTCCTCGACGGTACGAGAAATCACAGTTTAATTATTTACAGAGTCTGAAGAAAAATGGAGGCCCAGAAAACAGAGAAGCGGGAGAAAGGAGCACTTTAATACCACGACTCCCCTCCTCCGTGATCCAGTGACTGTGAAATGAGTCTGCAGGGTAACACGGAGGAGCGAGGAGCTGCTGTCAGCGTGTCTCTCAGGCTGCAGCTGGGATTGTTGGTGGTGTGCAGCTTTGAGGCAGCGAGGTGTTCGCTCACATGAAGATCTGTGACCTCTTGTCCTGCTTTTTTAATTAGACGCTGTGTGTCAGGATAATTACCCCCCCAGCCTCGCCTCTGTTCCCTTTAATAGACCTCCGAGCATGAGGACCACTTTGTTTGGAGGGCTGTGTTTTAGATTCAGAGCAGCACATATGGAGCGCTTTAGATCATTTCCTCTGAGGAGAGCCGAGAGAAGAGGAGAAACTACAAACTGCAGCCTCATTATCATCAGCACGTCGTGGGAAAATCTTCTTCTGATTAAAAGTTTCACTGTTCGGGGTCTACGACTCACAGAGGCCCCCCTGGAAACCAAGACGAGAGCCACGTGAGGTAGACTACGATCCGTCAGGTTTAAAGTCCTGGTTGACGATTGTAGAGATCGGTAATTATGATGAACCTCGTTTCCATGGCGATCATGGTCCTAAAGTGCAAATTCACAAAGAGAAAAAAGATCGGACAAAATCTGTTCACCCTATCAGCTGCAGGGCTGCAAAAACATTAACCAATGGGAGCCATCCGTCACGGACGGCTCCTATTGGTTAATTTCCTGCTCCGCCTCTCCATCCAATCATCTCGCTGTATTGGACACACCCCTCTCCCGTAGTTCCGACTCGTCCCCTCCCACTCTCCCGGCCCTCCTCGGAGCTCTGAGCTCTAAAAGAAGCGTAGCAGCTTAGCTACAGGAGCTGTGATGGAGAAGGACGCAAAAAAACCCACTTCTGCTCGCCACACCGCCACAAGACCACACGAGGAATCTAACGTGAATAACCATCGGGTCATCCTTGGAGCGGTGGAGAAAACAGACGCTGAGACAGCAGAGATTTAGTTGAACAGGTCATTTTTATCTCCTTTTATCTCATGTTACATAAATAACTCTGATTAGTCTCTGACATGTCAACATGGTAGCTGCAGACGGCGCTCGCTAGCAGAGCTGGCGTTTACCGCCGCTAGTCACTAACAATCCGACATGGTGGATCCTATTTGAAGCTAGTGTAGGATCTTCTGACAGAGGGGGTGTGTCAGGGGGAGGGCAGTACAGGTTCAGGGGGCGGAGTTATGGTGGAGCACAGAGGGGCGGGGTTTGTGTGTGTGTGTGTGGGGGGGGACGATTTTTTCAAATCTGCCTCATCAGCTCAGTTTTTGTTCAACTGAGGCTCAGATCATCGACCAGGATTTTAACGAGTTCACAGAGTTTACCTCCAAACATTTGACTCCTTATTGAACCTTTAAATCATCATCCATGCATGTGATGTCATGGTAGGCGGAGTCATGGTGATGAACTCTGGGGTCCTCGTGTTATAAAACGCTGCAGTACTGCCCCCTGTGGTTGATTTATGACGATACATGAGGTTTTTACCTTTTAATGCTCTGTAACTTTTACACTTTCAAACCTTTTCCTCTCTTTTTTGGTTTCTGTCGTCTCTTCGTGGATTTCACCGTGTTATTCTGATGAAGGCCTGTGCAGACAGCTCTGGACCTTCAGGCGATCTGAGACCTGAGCTGAGGACTGACAGCATCTCTGAGCTCAGATGGTCTCCTGACATCCAGACTAACTCATCAACAGGTCGAGAGAGAAACACCTGCAGCACACCTGTCTGCTCACATCACACCCTCAGGCATCAGGTATCGTGACTCTTCACTTCAGGAAGCTGCTTCAGACCAGCTCATCTGGTCTCAGAGGACTCTGTCTGTAAACACCCAGAACAGCAGCAGAACCGGGTCTGAGATCTTCATGAATCATGAACGAATCAGACATGCTGATGCAACGATTTCAGATCAAGGAGAGAGGAAGGAGCCCAGAGCCAATCAGCTGTCAGCAGCTTTTAATTCAGCTGTTTATCTCTGCACACACACACACACACACACACACACACACACACACACACACACACACACACACACACACACACACATGTCTGCGGTGCCAAATCCCTGAGTGTGAAGCTGCAGAGGTGAACAGATGACATGATTGAACATTTAGAGAGCTGAGGAGCTGATCTTTGTTTTCCTGATCAGATTAAAGGGATATTGCGGCGTAAAATTAAGTTAGGCTCAAACACACATCATTACTTTATCATTTCCATGAAGTAATAATCACCATATTAATCATTTTACAGACGCTGTAGTTCTTCTGTCTTAGCGTCTCGGTCTGATTGTATTTCCATGAAGAAATGATGATAAATGTTCTTCCTTGAGCTGCGGCACCCCGCTGTAGTCTTTAATGGACTGGCCTGAGGTCTCGCTACAAACAAGCGTCTGCTGGAAGAGAGTAGGTGAGTTGTGTTTAGTCTCTTTGTTAAAGAAATGAGTCAAAGTTAAAAAGATGTTTGGTGTCTAGTACTATGTCTGTGACCCTATATGTACTAACCTCAGTAGATCATGGTGTAGTTTTGTTCAGTAACAGAACCTCATTGGAAAATTAGCTGATTTAACTTTACTGTGCTCTTGTTCAAATATATTAACTCAACAGCACATAAATCCATACCTGTTAACAAAATCATGATTTTATTGATAATTCGGCTCAATAAAAACACCTTTACCTTTTCATTTTACTACAGTAGAAGTTTATTGGCCCAGCTTATAGACTACAGAAGTGGAGAAACGCCCCCGCTTAAGTTTATGTTTTCTGAATATAGTACTATGTCTGTGACCCTATATGTCCTGTTGATGAAGTTAGGTGCTGTTCTGAGCATTATTTGTGGCTATAGAGTGGCGTTTTGGTTGAGGGCGTGGCTCTCTGTATTTCTATCCTGCGGTCGTTACTAAAGTTGGTATAACTAGAGAAGCAAGCGGTCGACAACATTCATCTCTGGAGGGGGCGGGGTCTAACTCGGCGTTACGGTTGGTTTGACCCTGAATTAATTTCACAGCAGAATATCCCTTTAAAGCTGGATTTAAGTTTCCTCTTCTGTTTCCTTGTCTGAACCTCGGCCTGCTCTCTCTTCCTCTTATTTTCTGCAGACTAACTGTTTCTCATGATACTTCAGGACCTTTCACTCTCAAACATGATGTTTCTTCACCTTTATTTCTGTCAGCTCTCACAGTTTGGACCCGTGTGATCCGCTCTAAAACTGGTTGTCATGCTGACTGTCTGAACTTTGTTCCTGCAGAGGATGAAAACAGCCTCCTGCTTTTCTACAGTAATAATATCCTGATTCATGTTTTCCTTTCTCTCCCTGTTACCCAGAATAAAGGTGAAGTTTCTCTGAATGAGGAACCAGGACAGCCTCTGCATCATGACTCAGCATTCAGTCAGTGATCAGTGAAGCTTTGAACAAACAAATCTGCTTCAAATGAGGATTTTTTTTAAATCTGGGTTCAAATCTTTTCTTTGTTCAGCCTCCTCTGTTTGATTTGAATGTTCTTCTTTTAGCATTTGAAGCTTTTTAAGGTTGTTTTCTCAAATCCTTTTTAATATGAAGTTATTTACTCTGCATCCGTCTTCCTCAATCTTCTATTTTTGGGTTATGTTTCTTTTCTGACATTTAATCAAACTGTTCTGTACAGACATATGAATTAGTCGTCTGATCATCTCGATGGTGAGAGAGTCAGACCGATCAATAAATGGATCATTTTTAAACAGCACATAAATGAACTCTGAGGACCTGTAAAATCCACTCCCTCTTTCAGGTGATGAACTCTGAGGAGATTCTTGTCCCATCAGAGAAGATCGGAGTATTTTAGAGACCGCCCAGATCCGCTCCTTCAGAAACAAAGACCGTCTGAGAGGATTTACGGGTTCATTTGGACTGAAATCTTTATTCCTGTGAAAGGGGGCTGCCATCTATACTCTGGACAACAGTTTACAGATCTGAAGCTGAAAAGTTCTCGGTAATTCTGCGTTTTTTTCTCCACTTCCTGAAACCAACATTGTTCAGTACCGTTGTTCGCATTTGGCGGGAGAGTCGCTGTGATGACGCTCGGCTCAAACAGCGTATCCCCCGGTGATCTACTCAATCTCTGTCCTCCCATTGGCTGTATCAGGTGTCAATCATAGAAAACATGAACCCCCTAATAACTTTTAAAAATGGAGCTGTACAGAAAAAAGAGGACTTGAGCACAAACCAGTCTGACAGTAACTACATGTCAACATCACAACCAGGGGGGAGAAACATTTATATTCTGTGTCATTCATTTATAAAGTTTGTCCACAGCTCCATAAGGAGGCGGGGTTTAGGACCTATACTGCAGCCCGTCACCAGAGGGCGCTGTTCTCAGAGAGAGGAGGCAGACGGCGTTCCCTCTATATGCAGTCTATGGTCCTGATACAGAAATGGGCTGGGGTCATCTTCAGTCTGGGGTCATCTTCGGTCTGGGGTCATCTTCAGTCTGGGGTCATCTTCGGTCTGGGGTCATCTTCGGTCTGGGGTCATCTTCGGTCTGGGGTCATCTTCGGTCTGGGGTCATCTTCAGTCTGGGGTCATCTTCGGTCTGGGGTCATCTTCGGTCTGGGGTCATCTTCGGTCTGGGGTCATCTTCGGTCTGGGGTCATCTTCAGTCTGGGGTCATCTTCAGTCTGGGGTCATCTTCAGTCTGGGGTCATCTTCAGTCTGGGGTCATCTTCGGTCTGGGGTCATCTTGACCGATGAAGATTATTTCCATGAATCTTTTCCGCTGTTACAGGATAAAACCGTCTTTTCTCTGACTGTGTTTATCTCCACGTTTCTCCAGTTTGTCTCTGTGCTGACTCTGATTATCTCTGATTAACTGACAGATTAAAAACCCCTTTTTGTGTCGAGGAAATTCTCCCATTTTTCTTAATCTGAATAAACTCTTAACTTCATCCTGTGGGAAATGAAGTCTCTCACAAAGCTGCAGATAAATCGGACTAAATGAGATTATGAGCGCTGGAGGCCCGCTGCTGCTGCTGCTGCAGTATATTTTAGAGGAAGTGATTTTTTCATTATTCTTGGGACTGAATCAGCCTCAAACAGGAGAAGTGAAGCTGGATGTGTTCTGGTCTGACCTCAGAGCTGACTCAGTGATTAATCAGCAGATTTAATTTCTCTAACAGCTCTTTAATAAAAGCAGGTGACCGTGCTGTCTGCGATCATGTGACCCCCTATAGTAAATCCAGACTGCGTCACGCTCACAGTCACATACATTAACTCACTCTGTAGCATGAGTCACCACCACAGTCTGCTGCAGAGAGCCAACAGGCGCCTTTATTAACCAAGAAACTATGTTTGGAGTTGAAAGTGTCAGAGTTTGCAGCATATTTCAGCTTTATTACACTTTTCCTTTTTTTTTTAAATTATTTTATTATTTGATCTGAAAAACAGGGTCTGACTCGGCACTGCTGCATAGTTTGTAGAGCTCTTTATTTTAGTATTTATTCATTTTTATCAGGCTTTTGTTGTGTTTAATCATGTCCTTATCTTTTATTGTACCACTTTTAAATCATGTTTCGTTGGTCTTTACTGTGTTTCTATTGTTTCTGGTGTTAGTCTGTGTTTTTATGATGTCTCCATGCTGCTTGTTGTCTGTATGAGTCTTCTTGTCCTGGTGGTGAAATAATTTCCCCCATGCAGGATCAATAAAGTCTACCTTACCTTATTTCACTTCAGTAAATCTCCACTTTTTCCTCCAAACATCTCAGACTTTAAACTGTCTGCTCAGATACTAAACTTCCTTCACAATTTCAAATATTCATTTTTCTGTGAGTTCATGGTTTATAGACGTGTCCTGTGGATTTGAGGAGCTACAGACCGATGTTTGGTCTTGGTTTTTATGGGACAAGGTCGCCCCTCTCTGGTCAGTCCTCTTCACTACACTCTCCTGGTCTTGTTGTTCCTTTTTTAAAAACTTCATTTCACTAATTTAGAAGAAAACGTTTGAGAAATTAAAAAAATCTAATCAGTATATCTTCTCTGTAAATTTAATGAGACTGGAAATATTTTCCAACCCTCCATCAGTTCCTAAAAAAAACCTTCAGCATTAAATCCTGAGATTTCAGTCAAACTTTGAGTTTGAGGAGGTAGTATCGTGCTTTTTTTATCACAACATGAAGTTAAATCTAAAAATATAAATGAGTCTTTATTCTTTACAGAATACATTTGTCATTAAAATACAAGAAACACAACCTTGTAGTGGTTCTGGAGGGCCTGGTTCTGGAGTGCCTGGTTCAATAGAGCCATGAGTTGAACATTAGAGAAACTCGACACATGGATAATCTCATTGTTTTGTGTTTTTGGATTTAAACCTGAAATTCTGATTTTAAAAAAAAGAATGAACTTTGACTTCAAACTTTGTTTTCTTAAAACTCTGAATTTAAAGACTTAGCCGTCAAACAAAGGAAGGAAAAACTGCCGCTTTAATCCTCTTATTTTTCAGCTCCAGTGAACTTCCCTCAGACCCTGCACTGAGACGCATTTGTGGGACAGGGTGAAGTTTTATGACGGGGGTCTTAATGAGTTCATCTGAAAAACCTCAGTCTGTGAATTAAAGTGCAGACTCAGGCAGATCAATGTTTAAGGTCTCTTAGAAAAATAATATCAGTCTTTATTAATTATGAGTGTTTTTCATTGTGCAGATTTAATGAGGGACGGTTATTAAAGTGGAAAATGACCTTTTTATCCTCCTCCATGAAACTCAGACAGGTGTTGTGCCGTAAAATGCACCCCTGCATCCCATCCACTCACCAGCTTCTTACAGTAGAGGAAAATGAGCTCATATTTAAAAAACACAGGAGTATTAGATCATGACAACATGTCAAATGAAGCAGCAAACTTTCGCTCTCTTTTTACATGTCTCAAAAAAGCACGTATAGAGGTGAACTTGGGTGTAAAAACTGTTCAGTAAACTGTCAAGGTAGAGAACATTATATTTTCAGGACAGTAAATATTCCGAATCAGAGGACTGTTGTTTTCGGCTTATCTGAATAGTCTGAATGAAATCATTAAAGGAACACGCTTTAGAATCCGCCCAACAGTTAAGAAAACTTGGATTATTTCGCCTTTTTATGGACTTTTAACCGAGCTCCCGCCATTGGGGTGCATTCTGTCAGGGGTGCATTCTCCGACACAACACCGGCCTGAACAGAAAGATCACATGATTGTTTAGATAAACAGGAAATTGCGTCATTACGCTGTGGTTTCAGGCTCACGTGACGGCGGCCGTAGCCCTCAGTCAGCTGATTAAAGTGGGTTTAACTCCGAACCGAACAGCAGTTCTGCTCAGTCATTGTTGAGTCCAGCACGAAAGGAGAAGGATGAGGAGTTTCTTCCTCTTCGTTTTCGCGGGCTTTGCCCTCACCAGCGACGCCATTATCCGGTAAGTGGAGATAAAATCGGTTAAAGATGAAGTTATTGAGAGTAAACGGAGCTGTTTGTTCGGTCTGTGGACTCGTTAGCATATAACTTACACAACATTAACTCTGTTAGCGGGACAATAACAAGGTGGTCAGTCTAAACCCATTTAAACTCTCAAACATCCTCCAACAGGAACCTTAAAAGAACAGTCTGTGACCTCTGAGCTCATATCTGTTTGTTTTTATCTCCTCGGGGACTCTCTGTCCATCCTGCGACATCTAAGATCTTTACGGTCCAGTATTCAGTTTGTAAGTCCGGACCGGACCGGTCATGGACTGGAGTTAGTTCCGACTGAGTCATCTGATTGGACCAGAGCCGATCGGTAATACCGATATACCGAATATTAACGCAGCAGGGACTTTTCACTGCGTGTATCCCTCCGCCTCAGCGAGCTAATCTACCTGCAGATGAAGAACAGGACAGTCTGTCAGAATCAATGGAGTTCATAAAAGACTGTGAATAAACTGATAAAAGTCGTAATCTGGGAGCTGATCGTTTACTCTGGTCTGCAGGTGATTAAGTTACGAAAAAAAAACACATTTGTTGCTTCTTAACCCGAGAACACTATCGTTAAAATTAGTATCACTATCACTATCGGGTGATTTTTTACCCGAAATAATATACACAAGAAAAAGTCCTTGTTATCAAAAATATAAAAATAGGACAGTAGATGAAAAATTAAAGTAGTTTTCTTTTTAACTGTTGAATGTCCAAAGAGAGGAAAGGTGACATGAGGGGACCAGATAAAAATACAACAAAAGAACTGAAGTTAGGCATTCATCAACAAACAATTACTAAAAACAAAATATATAAATATATGTAAACTGTAAAGTTAGTTTGTTTTACCCCCCAACAAATATGTCCTCAAAGATGTCAAAGGAAATACTGAAGATACTCAGAGACCCATGATACTCAGACAAACACAACATCAGGAAAATCACCTAAAAACAGGTTTGGTCGGGGAAAATCACCCGAGCGATAGTGTTCGAGGGTTAAACCTGTTTTTGTATTTCATTTATAATTTTCGATGTTACAGTTGTGGTACAGCACTGAACTGATGCAGATTAACTAAAGTAAAAAAGAAAATAAACAGTTAGAAAATCAATAAAGGTATGTAAAGAGAGTGAAATTTTCAGGATGAATTATTTAGAAAATTATGAGCAGCTGATTATTGTTAATGTAAATAAAAGAAATATAAATAATCAAATGATGATATATTTCTTTATAGCACTTTCAAAAACAGAAGTTGACAAAGTGCTTTGACAAACAGTCTCATGGAAATAAAAACAGATAAAAAACTAAAGCTCAGTTAAAAACCTCCAAACTGAAGACCAGTTTCATTTGTCATGAGAAACCCGGACAATACAGGAACCCCACAACATAAATGAGACCATGAGGACCGAAATAAAACATTAAATAGGTAAGAAGAAGAAATGTGATAGAAAAGAGAGGGGGCTGGAAATATGATAGACACACCGAACTTCTGACGAGGAGAAATGAGCGTTTTTATTTTCCCTCTGTTTGTTTTTTCAGCAGGTTTTCTTTTTGGATTTGCTGCCTCACATTCATGCTTTCATAGCTCACTGAAACTGTGGTGTTTTCATTGGACTGTCTTTTTGAATGCGTGAGTTTTTTGGATGTTTGTATGTCAGTGATGATTGGAATCTGCAGTGAAGACGGTGTAGACTGATCTGAGCTCAAACCAGAGGCTGCATAAATCCGCAGGTGTAAATCTTTGTTCCTTTGTGAAGTTGATTTTCCTGTTTCCTGTGATCGGTTGGTCGGTGCCTCTTGGATGGGTGTGTTCAGGTCAAAGCTGAATTATGTATCACACTATATTGCAACACTCAGTTTGATAACAGTGTGTAGAGAAGGCATGTGGGCCACCTGTTATCAGCACAGCTCCACTGGTGTGGGTGTTTGAGTGGCCTTTGTTTTATTTTCCCATGATTCACAGGTCTGTAACCGGCTGAAATAACCTCCTGAGTCACTCCCTCCCTCTTTTCTTCCCCTTCAGAATCCCCTTAAAGAAGTTCCGCTCCATCAGACGTGAGCTGACGGACTCAGGGAGAAACATCGAGGAGCTGCTGGCTGACAAACACTCCCTCAAGTACAACCTTGGCTTCCCCACCAGTGGTGGACCCACTCCAGAAACCCTGAAGAACTACCTGGATGTAAGCATGGCACTCTTAAACCACTGACCTGTGCACCCAGAAGGCTTCACTTTCACTAATGCACCTCTGAGAGGCTAAAAGCCACAACAAAGGTGTCCCTGTGTCTGACCTGCTCTGTAAATCCTCCAGCTCAGAGTCCTGCAGACTCTCCTGAACAGAATAAATCCTGTTTACAGACAGAGCGCAGAAACGCTGAGTCACTCTGGATTCTGCTCTCATATCGGCACATGACAGCTGCTGACTCAGTGTTTCCACCTGTTTTCTTAAGCCCCCCTAATCAGCTGACAGATGAAGCATGTCAATACAAGACGGGGAATCAAGCTGCTCCAAGGCTGCTGCGGTTTAAAGAAAGCTTTACCGTAAAACCCAACAATAATATTCACAGAGCTCAGTGTGCCAACGTTTCAAAAGAGGAGAAAGTCAAGCAAACCTTTCTGAAAGGCAGATAAGAGTGTTTGTGTGCTCAGATAATCAGATTTCAGCCTCAACGTCACATCAGTCCAACTTTAAGGTTCTCAGACAGGAGGAGAGAGAGAGACGAACATGGGAGTCTGAGGGTCTCAGCACTTATCAAAGAGTTTAAAAAAGGAGGTTTGAGACTAAAACCAGACTAAATACATTTGTCCTGAATCCTTTTATATCGTCCGATCTCGATTATTATCACGATATTTTTTTTAAACTGTCAGTTTTAAATCATTTGTACTACAAACTGAAGAAACTAGAGATTAGTTCAACATTTTATTAACATACAAAGTCAATATAAGAAACTTAAAAAAATATAAAAACCATTTTTACTCAACAGAACAACAAATGTAGATAAATATTAAATTATGAAGTGAACTAGTTTACAGTCCTGAGTGTTTCTGATAGACCTAAAATAAACAGATGTCCCCCTCAGAGAAAATGAAGACGCCTTAAATGTAAACATTAGATGATGTAAACGTAGATGATACGATGGATTGATTGCTTTGGTCTGGTCGCTGCACCGCTTGTTGTAGATAAACTGCTAATGCTACTCATGCTGTCAGCAGTGACAGGCTGTACAGACTCCGCCCACATTTTCATGCTTTCCGCTCACCGTATTTTTCACACCATCAATGAGCGCGTCTATTTTCATACATACTCAAAACGAACATGATAACCAGTCGAACCTGCAAACATCTTCACAACAGGACGAGTTCAATCTGTAGAGAAATCAACACCTGAAAAAACAGGTCCATGTTGTTTATTGATTATTGATTAGTCTGTGAGTGAAAACCAGCCAATCAGAAGTTTACCATCTGCTGAAAAAGCAGTTGTTTCTTAGTGAGCGCTCCAGTTAATGTTAAACCTTTTTAACAGAAGATCCAAACTCTCAGAGGTGGATGATAAACCAAGTCTGTGTCCTCAAACTGAGAGAGAGCAGGAAGCAGAGGGTGGTGGTGGTTCAGCTCTGATCAGAAAAGGACGGAGACGGGTCGACATGTCAACATTTCTGAGGTTTTAAACCCGAGTCTGTGACTCTCAACCAAAGAGGAAGTTTGACTCATCTGACTGTGGAGAAATCTGTCACCTCAGTCCGCCGGATATTGTGAAAGTCTAACGAGTGATTTACTGACGTGAGTAAAAACCCACTCTGTGAAGCTGCTGTGTCCGTCTCAGATCAGTTCTGGCGGTTCAAAGTTGGGTTTTTTTTAGTTTTTTTTTTTTTTTTTTTTTTTTTTTAAAACATATTTTTTTTCACGTTTATATAACCCCCCCCCCCCCCCCAAAAAAAAAAAAAGTGCTTTTTTTAACCACATAATTTCCTCCCCTCCCCATTATTCCATAGGGAAACAGAACAGAAAGAAAAGAAATTATAAACATATGAATAAACAAAGAGTACAGAATCAGACGCGTTCATTAAAAAGGAACAAAATAAGAAAAGAAAAAGGCAGCAACAATGATATCAATAAACTCCATCCAAATGTCTTTACATCTAGGCTACATATATGAACATATTCATACACATGCTAAATTACAAACAGTCATCGGTCCCTCTTTAAGAAATTCTCTAATTTTGAAAATAATGGAGTCCAAAAATCTTGAAAGATAAAAACACAATTGTATTTTTCCAGGGTGGATTTTTTAAGTGGTAAAAACGCTGAAGAGGTTGAAAGTTGGCGGGAAATCGTCTCTCCAAAGTAAATTATACAGTTCTTAGTGAAATATGTGATTATAATTAATATCCTGCATTTTTCGGTCCGACTGAAGATCCAATGGTTTGAGATCGAATTTCCAAAACTGATTGTTTGTTTCACATATTTTAAACCAAGTGTTTTCTTTAAAATCCATCCCCAGTTCTTTATCCTGTATCTTCTCTATAGTTTGAAAAGATGACAGACCTCTTTGTGATATAATATTATAGAATTCACTGATCTGTCCTTTAATCTGAGGTCATGACCTCTAATTCAGATGACCCAAATCAAAGTTTATTTTCTTTAATTAGTGATTGAACGATGCTCCTCATCTCTTTGTCAGGAATCTTGTTTTCTGATTTGAAGTCAATGATTTTATTTGCTTGTTTGATGAGGATGAAAAACTGAAGATTCAGAGATTTCAGAAAAATGATCTAAACAGAGAAAACTGTTCCTGTGTTCACGTTCAGAGAGGTCTGTTTTTTAAAGTGTTTTCATATGTGAGAGAAAAAAAAAAGGGTCTTTATTTTCTTTTTCACCCTCACTCGGGTTCTCCGCCGTCACATAGTCCAGGAAACCTAATCAGGGATTAAGTCTTAGATCTTTGCTCAGGGTTCAGAGGATCAGATCAAGAATAAAAAGGCTCATTCCGTCTAAAAATCACAGTCCGACATGTTTGAAAACCCGAGTCCAGCTCAGTGTCTCTGTGTGGACAGAACCTCCAGCTCTCAGGATTATCCTAATCTGGTTTCCTGAAACTGGAGATCAGCGGAGTTCTGTGGTTTAAAGTTAATCCAAACAGGCTTTACTGATTAATGTTCTTATTGATTATCATTGATCGACCTTCTGTTGTTTCTCAGGCTCAGTATTACGGAGAGATCGGCCTCGGGACCCCCCCTCAGCCCTTCACCGTGGTCTTCGACACCGGCTCCTCCAACCTGTGGGTGCCCTCCGTCCACTGCTCCCTCCTGGATATCGCCTGCTGTGAGTCTGACGGTCCGAGAGTCCGACTGTAGAGTCACACACCTGAACGCCAGACCGTATAACAGCCCCCTCCTCTCTTCCTCCTTCCTCTCTCCTCCTCTTCCTCCTCTCAGTGCTTCATCACAAATATAACTCGGCCAAGTCCAGCTCCTACGTGAAGAACGGCACCGCCTTCGCCATCCAGTATGGGACGGGCAGTCTGTCGGGTTACCTGAGCGAGGACACCTGCACGGTAAGATCCTCTCACTCCCATCAGTCGTGGTCTTGGACTCGGGTTCCTCCTGGTCCTTTGACCCTTGGGGATCTCTGACTCCTGATTCGGTTCATGAAGGGGGTCCAACTGATCCCTGTCAAGATCTCAGACCTGCTCTAAAACCAGGAGCCTCTGAGTCGGTGACCCGGGGTCGTGTTGAACTTCGTCAGGGAGTGAATTCTTGTGTTTGGGTTTACCGGGACCATCTGGATCGGCTGTGATCCTTCTAAAGGTTCAGGTTCTTGTAAATCCTCACAGTCTCGGGTCGGATCCTGATCTTCTTCACGGGTTTATAAACGGGCGCGTTTTCTCCGGTTAAAGACGGAGTGATCAGGATTAAAGCTTCAGGCTGTCAAACTGTGAGGAGGTTTTCAGAGACCCTCGGTTAGACCTGGTCTTCAGCTGGGTCCTTGTCTGGATCAGGACATCCTCAGATGGTTTTGTTTGGTCCTCTTTGAGGGGCCGGTTCAGGTCGGTGAGTAAGGCGGCGCCTCAGGTCCGGGTCCACGGTGTGAAAGTCACCATCTCCTGGTTTTCTTCTCTGCAGATCGGAGACCTCGCCGTGGAGAAGCAGCTCTTCGGAGAGGCCATCAAGCAGCCGGGCGTGGCCTTCATCGCAGCCAAGTTTGACGGGATCCTCGGCATGGCGTACCCCCGGATCTCAGTGGACGGGGTCGCTCCGGTCTTTGACAACATCATGAGCCAGAAGAAGGTGGAGAAGAACGTCTTCTCCTTCTACCTGAACAGGTGAGACTCACTGATATCTTTTAAAAACGTGAACCTGATGTCTGAAACATCGTCCAATCAGAATCCTTCTTTCTTCAGGAACCCCGACACTGAGCCCGGCGGCGAGCTGCTGCTCGGAGGAACTGATCCGAAATACTACAGCGGAGACTTCAACTACGTCAACATCACCCGGCAGGCGTACTGGCAGATCCACATGGACGGGTCAGTACTCACATATCTAACAGACAGAGGAGACTCCTGAAGGGGGTCAGAGGGGTCCAGACATGGGACCAGGACTAGACCTCAGACCAAAGGAAACAAACGACCAATGAGACGAACAGAGCTGACCTTTAACCCTCAGTTCGACTTTGTCCCCAAAACAGACGAGCAGATAAAGTTCATAAAATCATCATTTTTAAACATTTTCTTTTACTTTTTTTGACACAAATCTCTTAAACAACTTCAGCCGAGACCATCAAAAAAGTCATAAATAAAAATGGATGTATTTTCCTTTTTCAAGTATTTTTTTTTTTAATGTTATGATTGTTCTTCTGTGTGTGTGTGTGTAACAGGATGTCTGTGGGCTCTCAGCTGAGTCTGTGTACCAGCGGCTGTGAGGCCATCGTGGACACGGGGACGTCTCTGATCACCGGTCCCTCCGCTGAAGTCCGGAACCTGCAGAAAGCCATCGGAGCCACGCCCCTCATCCAGGGAGAGGTCACACACTTACTGAAAACGCACACATAAACACACACACACACGCTAACAAACGGAGGAGAGGTGACTGAAGAGTGTTTGAACTGTTTGTGTTTCAGTACATGGTCAGCTGTGACAAAGTCCCGTCTCTGCCCGTCATCACCTTCAACATCGGCGGTCAGCCCTACTCTCTGACCGGAGAGCAGTACGTCCTCAAGGTGAGTCCGAGCACAGGATCAACCAGCAGGGGGCGACAGTGCGCTGGCTCAGAAAGAGACAATACAGCGCCGTGAGGGACACAGACAATGAGCGCGGTCTAGACCTGCTGTTTGTCTTTGGAGGGCGTCTCGGGATGACGACTGTAGTGAGTCGGCGCAATATAAACAAAATTTAATTGATTGATTGACAAGTGAAGCTTTAAGAGGGAGAGAAAGGGGCGGAGCCTGAGGAGGACACGCACTGAGCATGATTGTGACCGAGTAACGATAATAAACAAAAAAGGAGGAATAATAATAATTATAATAATTATAATAATTATTATAATAATTATTATAATAATTATAATAATTGTAATAATAATTATTATAATTATTATTATTATTATAATAATTGTAATAATAATTATTATAATTATTATAATAATTATAATAATTGTAATAATAATTATTATAATTATTATAATAATTATAATAATTATTATTATAATTATTATAACTATAATAATAATAATAAACTGATTTATGTTGAACATCAGAACAGATTCTTGATTGTCCTGATTTTTAACTCTTTGTTTTACCTTTTTTTTCTGTGACTGATTTTATTGATTATTGATCAGATCGATGTTCTTCCTGTTTGTTGGTCAGCTGACCTTCTCACCTGTCTCCTGATCTGCTCTCTCATGTCCATGTCTTCTCTGTCCCTCAGGTGAATCAGGCAGGTAAGACCATCTGTCTGAGCGGTTTCATGGGTCTGGACATCCCCGCACCTGCCGGGCCCCTGTGGATTCTGGGAGATGTATTCATCGGCCAGTACTACACGGTCTTTGACCGAGACAACAACAGGGTCGGCTTCGCCAAGTCTAAATAAGCGTCTCCTGCAGGTGTGAGGAGGAGGATCTGTGCTGCACGTCTTCTGTTGCTTTGAAATCGACTCGTCTTTAGCAATAGATTGAGTGTAGAGCCTGGATGAAGATCTGAGCGAGTGAGCGTCCTGCAGACTGAGGGAACAGGTCAGACGTTTGATGTGTGTGTCATGTGATCATGTGAGCAGAGGTGTCAAAGGTCAGGGATCAGATGATGGGATGGGTACGGCCCTTTTTAACGTCCACATGATCTTCGTTTTAATCAGGGATTTGTTTTAAACTCTTCATTTGAATTTTAGGGCAAAGATGTTCTTCTACTACTGATGTTCTCTTACTTTGATCTGAACAATAAAAAAACGGTTTTAAAGGAAGCGGCTTCACTCTGATCGTGTTTCACAGCTGAAGTCTAAACTGTGAGGATCCGCTGAGTTCACGGAGATCTGCTCTCAGTGTCTGGGATCAGGAGTTCAGGGACAGACTGGTTGTGTCAGTAAGCACAACCAGAATTCATACATGAGGAGGATTTTTGAGAAAGTTAAAGGATCTTAAGTTCACCTTATAGTGTGAAAATACGGTGCAGACATGAAGAAGGAAACACAACAGCTGGAGTCGACAGAAATCCACCGAAGAACGATTTAGAATGAAACAGATCTGTGAAGAATCTCCTGATCCACCGGCAGGGAAAATCAATGAATTAATCAATCAATCAATCCATTCAAGCAGGATATAAAAAAAACAATGAAATGAAATAAATACAAATACCAAACCCTGCCCATACAGCACTCACACACACACACACACACACACACACTCTTCAACTCTCCACAGATGACTGAAGAAACTCTGGATCTCGGACTAAAACAATAAAAACATGATAAAATATAATGAAGGTGATAAAGTGTTAAAGTTAATTAAATAAAACAGTCTGAAAATCAAACAATCAAAGAAAGTAAATTAAAAAAAAAGAGGTCATCAAACAAAGTAGATACTCTCGGACTGAAATAGGATAAAATCACAAATGATCCAGAGAATGTTTGAGTTTTTTTTTTAATTCAAAGACCTGAAGACCTGAGGGCTCCACCAGGATCATACGGTAAAATAAGAAGGACCATGAAGAGCTTTAAAAACTAATAAAAGAACCTGAAAATCGACTCTAAGATTAGACACAGGTAACCAACGCAGAGGTTTTAAATTTGGCGTGGTGTGGACTCTCTTCCTGGTGTGAATTTTGTAGGAGCTGGAGAAGCTGTGAGATGTTCCTTTTAGGAAGACCAGAGAGGAGAGCGTGGAGATAGTCGATTCTACAGGTGATAAAAGCATGAAGAAGAGTCTCTGCACTGACTTTAGAGAGAGAAACTGGCGCACGCTGGAGACGTTCTTTAAATGATAAAACGCCTTTTAAGTAACATCCAGAAAATGAACTCCAACCCACAAACTCCACAAATCCTCCAAACTTTATTATTTCATCTTAAAATTTACACAAATCACTTCAATGTAGAAAAGAGTCAACTCTAATTTATCCATAAAAATGACCTTTAAAGGGTTATTTCACTGAACATGAGCAGAAACACAGGAAACCTCCTCTGTGGCGGTTAGAGTTCAGTAGAAGGAAGTGTCTTTAAAACCAGGAGGGGGTTTAGTTTAGTGAAGCAAAGGAGTGAGAGCAGAGACACTGAAACCAGGACAGCAGCCCCCTCACCTGTCCACAGGTGAGATTACATCACACACGTGTGTTTACACTGTTTTTATTAAAACAAAGTGTTAACTGATTTTACTCTGCAGGTCTGAACTACGGGGTTAAAACTGTTTCTGCTGGATCTGTTCAACCAGACCTCATGACCTCTGATACACACTGAGCATGCTCTCTCTCTCTCTCTCTCTCGCTCTCGCTCTCTCTCTCTCTCTCTTGCTCTCTCTCTCTCTCTCTCTCTCTCTCTCTCTCTCTCTCTCTCTCTCTCTCTCTCTCTCTCTCTCTCTCTCTCTCTCTCTCTCTCTCTCTCGCTCTCTCTCTCTCTCTCTCTCTCTCTCTCTCTCTCTCTCTCTCTCTCTCTCTCTCTCTCTCTCTCTCTCTCTCTCTCTCCCTTCCCCCCTCTCTCTCTCTCTCTCTCTCTCTCTCTCGCTCTCTCTCTCTCGCTCTCTCTCCTCTCTCTCGCTCTCTCGCTCTCTCTCTCTCTCTCCTCTCTCTCTCGCTCTCTCTCTCTCGCTCTCTCCCTCTCTCTCTCCCTCTCTCTCCCTCGCTCGCTCTCTCTCTCTCTCCCTCTCTCTCTCTCCCTCTCTCCCTCTCTCTCTCCCTCTCTCTCTCTCCCTCCCTCTCTCTCTCTCTCGCTCTCTCTCTCTCTCTCTCTCTCTCTCTCTCTCTCTCTCTCTCTCTCTCTCTCTCTCTCTCTCTCTCTCTCTCTCTCTCTCTCTCTCTCTCTCTCTCTCTCTCTCTCTCTCTCCGTATTTAAAGTTCCTGTAAGGAGATTTTTGAAGGTCATTAAATGGACTTAAACCAACAGTCAGTCTGTTTCCATGACACTCCAGAAAACCGAATTATCGCCTTATTCCGATGAAGACCGGTCAACTGAAGGTCATGTTAACACCTTAGTCCGACTATAATCGGAGTTTAAGAACTCTGATTCAGACTCCCAGATAATGAGATTGGAATTTGATTTTCTCGACCATGTAACCAGCGTAGTCGGAGTATGATCGGACAGTGCATGTTCGCATGCGCCACGCCCCCATAACCCCGGAACAACAAAAACACTGTCTGACTGTAAACGCACTGAGTGATGCATTTTTATGACCGACCAAATCAAACCAGGCGATCCACTTCTAGTGAGAGCATGTCTCTGCTGTGAGGTAGTGGGCTTTGTCCACAGGGGGGCGCAAAAGTCAACACAAACAAAGTCCCTCATGGGAGCTTTAACCAAACAAAAGCATAAAGAAACGAGGACAGGAGACGACAGGCTGCGTACTCAAGGTTATGGGGACGGTCTTTAGGAATGTGACCAATCAGGGGAGGAAGAGTCTTCACTGATCCAATCAGAACATCTGCATTCATATCATTTCCAACAACAAACCGGACCTTTCACCGACGACTTCAGGGTCAGCGGTGCGTTTAGGTGCTGAAAAGTGTCTCTGTTTCCCCTCCTTCACCCTAAATCAGAAACTGCAAACTAACGATTCAAGTTCAAAACAGAAAGCTGCACAAACATACACTGACTATACAACATCAACAAGAACCAGAACCAGAACCACAAGTCCAGAAGAGCTGAGATGCTCTGTGAAAAACTAATTCAAACGAAACAAAAACATGAAAAGTTCTTGATCATGAATTCAAGATCTGCTCATTTCAAACCTGACGGAGCGACGGGTTCGTAAAAAGTTCTTCTGATAGAGGAGGAACCAAACAGGTCCAAAGTTCTGATGCTAAACAGACATCTAGAGGATAATCTGTGACCACTGAGGTATACCAGGACCACCAGGACCCTCTAAACAGGACCACGGAGACCCTGGACTGTTGAGCAGATGAAATCCTCGTGACTGTCTTCTGGGTCCACTAAGGTCTACAGAGGACACATTAATCTGGATCTCTTTTTTACAGACCTGTTTCTGAGGTGAAATTGAAGATGAGCAGATATTTCATCGATCAAGAACATTTTTAACATTTTTATCTTTATTTTTAAAAAATGAGAAATTTTAAAATTTTCAACTTTTTTTCTTTACAATTTTTTTTTCGGCATCTGAACTTTTCTGGAATTCGGGTAAAAAAAATCAACAAAACGAGTTTGAATCTGGACTTTGATCAAACTCTCGTAGGCGAGACCCTCACCTGGTGGAGGGGTCTCAGACTCTGGACTCAGGTGGGCCTTTGGAACCTGGTCTAAGGTCTGAGCTCTCTCTGAACTCACAGTCAAAAACTTCAGGTCTGGGTCCTTGAATCTGTCCTGGAAGGTTTTGGAGGTTTATCGTCTCTCTGTGACCTCCTGAGTCTCCAAACAGAGACGAAAACAAACAGCTCAGTTTGACCTTTGACCCCTGCTGTCAGCCCTCCTTCTCCTCGCCCCCCCTGTCAGTCTCTGTCTGAGAGTCTCCATGGTCTTGCTCCTGGTCCGGCTCAGTGTCCTGGTTCTCCTGCCCCTCCTCCTGCTCTCTGAGCGGGGCCGCCGGGTCTCTGACGACCCCCTCCATCTCCACCTCCCCCTCCAGCTCCTCCGGCGTCTCCTCCTCCACCCGGCCTATGGAGTCCGGGATGATCTCCACCTCGATGTCAGAGGAGTCCTCGCTCTCCTTGAACCAGACCGTCTTCTGTCCCTCCTTCCTCCTCTGCTTGTTGAGGATGGACCTGGACCCGTAGTCGTCACCGTCTCCCCTGCCCCTCCTGGACGCCCTCGCAGACGGGCTTCCTGTCGGGACGTGGTTGTTGTAGACGCCGCAGGAGGAGCAGTGGCGGCTGCGCCTCTCCAGGGGGATGACCCGGCCTCGGGGCTGAGGGAAGGTGCTCCTTCGGGGGACGGCGTTGTTCACGCGTCTGCCTCCCCCCCGGCTCTGGTCCCCTTCGGTGGTGAAGCCGTCGTTGGTGTACTGCAGAGAGTCTCGGTGACCGGAGCGATGCTGCTCCGCCTTAAAGCAGGGACCGAGACACTGAGGACAGAGACAGAGAGGATCTATGAGGACTCACGTCTATACCTGCTCAGGAAGATAGTTTCAGGGACCCACATCCACCAGCGGATCCTCCACTCATCTCCATCTCGGTCTTTCGTCTCTCTGAAGACCGCCTCACCTGAAGACCGGACTGGTGCACCTGTCACAGTTCTGCCTTACCTGTCCACCGTCCCTCACGGCTCCATGTGACCATCAGGTGTCACCAGAAAGACCACAGAGAGAGAAAACTGACCTCGCAGATTTTGTCCATGCCGGCGTTTCCCTTGAACAAGCGGGAGATCAGGAAGCCAATGACGATGAGGCAGAGGACGAGCAGAGCCGCCATGATCAGACCGAGCAGCGCCATGTCCCCGGGCCGGTACCCGATGCTGGAGTCGGACGGGATGGCCACCGCTGGAAGACATGAAGTCATAACTCGTTTTACCAAAATCTCCACCCAGACAAACATGTTAAAGGCGGGATAGACAGGAACCCGTTACAGAAGCATCTGTTTTTGTGGTGTCGTTCAGGAGCCCAAACAAAGTTAGCGTGCTACAATATCGGACAGTAGAAACCAACCAGAAAGTTCGGAAAATTGTCCGAATCCTCCTTTGGCTACGACTGCCGACACAAGCAAGAAAACAAAGTAAATACCGGAGACTCTGGAGGAATAACGGGCGCTTAAAACGGAGGTAGACCGGACAAGAGCTAAAAAGCCGGGTCAACATAAACGATGGGGGACGCTTGGGGATCTTGGTGACCCTGTAACCTTTCTGCTGGACAGGTAAACCGCTTTAACAAAGTAAGACAAGTGTCTGTAACAGAAGTGTTTCTTGTCAAACGGACCTGCTGTAGCGTGTTGTAGCGCCATCGCTAAACTGTCCTCCCTCGGGTCCTGGACTATGTCACTTTATCCTCGTTGTAGAAGTCCTGCAAACATTGTGTTTGCTGGTAGTCTGTTGGCATCTACAGTAGCACCAATGCTTTTGACTTTCACCTTGACTGGGCCCCATTTGTAATGATCTGAAGGATTTATCTGCATTATATCTGAATTTAATTGGAACGATACGAGCGAGCAGGAGCGTCTGTTTGTGGGCGGGGCTTGAGGGGAGAGGAGGAGCTGAGGGGAAAACTGGTTGGAGGGGTAGAGTTTACATCCAAGATTTCTGCTAAAAACTGGAACTTCATCAGATCCTGACTACAACACCTTTAACTGGAGCTGGTTCACAGATTTGACCCTCACAGTCGCGCTCAACCACAGGCTCTAAACCGCCAAAACTGCAGACAGGGTTATCATCACTGGTGAAACGTAGGAGGAGCAAGAAAAGGTGGAGCAGAGAGGGAGTGAGTTAGAGAGAAGGGAGGGTTAGTCCACACAGGCACCAGCTCATCCTTCTGTGGACCAATGAAATTAGAGAGAAAAGGTCAGCTGACAGTCCGGAGGGTTTGATTTAGTAAAGGTGTCGGTCTCACCTGGTATGACCTGAACAGAGAGAGCAGCTGTCCCGAACTCTCCCGTGGTCGAGTCCACGGCTCGGAGCTGCAGTCCAAAAAGAAGAGTCAGCACATGTCAGCAAACATGTTACCGTGTGATACTTGAAGATTTTACCCATCAGCCACCTGGAGAGCGAAGGACTCTGTCTTCACAACCCTCTTCAGGATCACAAACCCGTCCGAGGTGACGTTAACGTAGCTGCTGTACTGAACCTCGTACTTCATGTCGGGATTCAAACCCTGAGACACAGAAACAGGGGAAACAAAGACGGCGCCGTTAGCCCACCCTGCAGAGGCCGTACCCACGATTTTCACCACATCAGGAAGCAGTTTTTGCCGTACTTCAATTCCTACGGGATTACCGACAGCGGTGATCGCAAGAACTCACAAGAACCCGTCCAATCGCGCAATAACGAGTCGTCTCTCTAAAGACAGACACATAGACATATAAGCAGTAGATTGTGTCCTTCCAGAGGAGGAAATCTACTTCTAGACTTCTAGAATCAGCATCTCCTCATCCATGGTGTCATCGGGGTGAAATGACGTCTAAAAACCTTTCACTTGTTCATCTCCGAGTGTTTTATTTTGAAAAGAAGCCGGATGTTTTATTTTGTGTCTGTGCCCGACTTCCTTTCCAGCACGGGTTAATCTGTGCTGAATTTATCCGCCATGCTCCGGCGTCCAGAAAAAATAGAACTCTTGTGATCAGCTGAGGAGTCCGGCGATCCGCAGAGGAACGGAAAGAAGTCGGTGTAAATTGACACGTTAACTTGAATGGTTACGATCAGCTACGATCGGAGGATACGACCTTTTAGACGATCAGGATGCGGATATTGGGGGTAAGACCTTTGTCACAGACCCGGTCTCAGCAGTCACCGGTTCGATTCCTGGTCACGACCCTTTCGTAAAAGTCTCGGACCCTGGACCTGCTGCTCAGCTCCTCTTTTTTATGCTGAGTCTGATTTTTGTCCCTGATGCTGCTCTGTTCTGGACCCGGGGGTCTTATGAAAATATAACATCTTAGTTTCTCAGTATCAGATGAGGAAGCTCACCCCTGCAAAGTCCTCGTCTCGTGCCCGGACCCTGAAGGGTCTGTTGGTGCTCCGGTCTCTGAGGATCATGCTCTCTGGGACGGAGTTGCTGTAGATAAATCCTTCATATCTCTCCTTCTCGAAGCGTGGGGGGTTCCTGCTCTTCTTCATCACCTCCATGGTCACCTGTGTCACCGCAAACTGATCCCTGTTGGTCACCTGAGAGGCCTGACGACAGCGAAGGTAAAACATGGAGCTCAGAGAAGATCAGTAGGAGCTTCATCTGTTTGTTTCTGTTCATAAATATGAGATCAAATCAGAGTTACCAGGACAGTCAGAGTTATCGGCCCGACGATATCCGCAGCCTTCGTCATGCTGATGTTTCCTGTTTCCTCGTCGATCTGGAAAATATTTCCTTCATTTCCTGAAAATAAAAACACAGAAACTGAAGAGTCATGGTTTCTTTGATCAGTCCGTTAATTTCATGGTCGTTTTGGCGCTGAATCACATCGACGCGGTTCAAAGGTGAAATTCTCAAACTCAGAGTCACAGAAAAAACTTTATTAAAATGTTAGTGTACAAGAAATTTTAAATGTTTTTTAAGTAACAATGGAAAAAATTTAAAAAAACTTTAAAAAAACATTTTCATATTTTCTAAACTGACTGAAACATCCTCTTTTTTCTGACGTTACTCTGAAAAAGTCGATTTCTCTTCACACGCTCTAAAAAAATAAAGACGTAAATCAAACCTCGGAGGATTCTGTAGCTGATCTGCTCGCTCCGGTTCTTGTCTCCATCTTTGGCGAAGACCGGACCGGGCTCCAGGATCAACGGCCCCTCCTGTGGACCCAGAACAGTTTTCAACACAAGTCCTCTTACTGACGGACTTTTCTCTGATCCTGGTCCTAAAACTGAGTCTGAAGTTTCTAACAGACGAGGTTCACCGACATGGCGACGAATTTCCTCTGAAACTCTAAAATACCAAGGGATCACCTTTGGTGGAAATGAATAAAGAAGAACCTTCAAATGTTGAGCAGCTTTAAAAACGAGGGTTTACGAAGTGCTCTGACTTTCAGGGAAAAACAGAGGAACCCAGAACAACAAAAAGACCCTTCAGCAAACCAGCCCACCGCTCAAACCGCCGCCTCACCTCCTTCTCCGTCAGGTTGACTCGTCCTCTGTAACCCGCGCTCACGCACAGTTTGGCGATCCCTAAGTTTGTCCTCAAGCACGGCTGAAACCACGGCGGCCGATTGTCCACATCCTTCACCAGAACTGTGATGGAAGCCACCGACGTAAAGAAAGGCTCATCTGAGGTCGAGCCGTTAAACGTGTCCTGGAACAGGGGACGCATTCAGGGGTCAAAGGTCAAAGACAGACAGCTGTAAGGATGCTGTTTTTATGGATTACTCACGTACCCGCACGTGTAAGACCAGAGAGATCTTCTGGACGGCGTCGTAGTCCAGGACGCTTTTCACCAGAATCCTTGGAGAGTTGATGTTCTCCAAACGGAAATACTTATCCTGTTTGACGGAGAGAGAGTGAAAATACAGAGTTAACGAGGAGAGAGAGTAAAAATACAGAGTTAACGAGGAGAGAGTAAAAATACAGAGTTAACGAGGAGAGAGTAAAAATACAGAGTTAACGAGGAGAGAGAGTAAAAATTCAGAGTTAACGAGGAGAGAGAGTAAAAATACAGAGTTAACGAGGAGAGAGAGTGAAAATACAGAGTTAACGAGGAGAGAGTAAAAATACAGAGTTAACGAGGAGAGAGAGTAAAAATACAGAGTTAACGAGGAGAGAGAGTGAAAATACAGAGTTAACGAGGAGAAGGAGTAAAAATACAGAGTTAACGAGGAGAGAGAGTAAAAGGACAGAGTTAACGAGGAGAGAGAGTGAAAATACAGAGTTAACGAGGAGAGAGAGTTAAAATACAGAGTTAACGAGGAGAGAGTGAAAATACAGAGTTAACGAGGAGAGAGAGTGAAAATACAGAGTTAACGAGGAGAGAGAGTGAAAATACAGAGTTAACGAGGAGAGAGAGTTAAAATACAGAGTTAACGAGGAGAGAGAGTGAAAATACAGAGTTAACGAGGAGAGAGAGTAAAAGGACAGAGTTAACGAGGAGAGAGAGTAAAAATACAGAGTTAACGAGGAGAGAGAGTAAAAATACAGAGTTAACGAGGAGAGAGAGTGAAAATACAGAGTTAACGAGGAGAGAGAGAGACTGAAAATACAGAGTTAACGAGGAGAGAGAGTGAAAATACAGAGTTAACGAGGAGAGAGAGTAAAAATACAGAGTTAATGAGGAGAGAGTAAAAATACAGAGTTAACGAGGAGAGAGAGTAAAAATACAGAGTTAACGAGGAGAGAGAGTGAAAATACAAAGTTAACGAGGAGAGAGAGAGACTGAAAATACAGAGTTAACGAGGAGAGAGAGTGAAAATACAGAGTTAATGAGGAGAGAGAGTAAAAGGACAGAGTTAACGAGGAGAGAGAGTAAAAATACAGAGTGAACGAGGAGAGAGTGAAAATACAGAGTTAACGAGGAGAGAGAGTGAAAATACAGAGTTAACGAGGAGAGAGAGAGACTGAAAATACAGAGTTAACGAGGAGAGAGAGTGAAAATACAGAGTTAACGAGGAGAGAGAGTGAAAATACAGAGTTAACGAGGAGCGAGAGTTAAAATACAGAGTTAACGAGGAGAGAGAGTGAAAATACAGAGTTAACGAGGAGAGAGAGTGAAAATACAGAGTTAACGAGGAGAGAGAGTGAAAATACAGAGTTAACGAGGAGAGAGAGTAAAAATACAGAGTTAACGAGGAGAGAGAGTAAAAATACAGAGTTAACGAGGAGAGAGAGTGAAAATACAGAGTTAACGAGGAGAGAGAGAGACTGAAAATACAGAGTTAACGAGGAGAGAGAGTAAAAATACAGAGTTAACGAGGAGAGAGAGTAAAAATACAGAGTTAATGAGGAGAGAGTAAAAATACAGAGTTAACGAGGAGAGAGAGTAAAAATACAGAGTTAATGAGGAGAGAGAGTAAAAGGACAGAGTTAACGAGGAGAGAGAGTAAAAATACAGAGTTAACGAGGAGAGAGTGAAAATACAGAGTTAACGAGGAGAGAGAGTGAAAATACAGAGTTAACGAGGAGAGAGAGAGACTGAAAATACAGAGTTAACGAGGAGAGAGAGTGAAAATACAGAGTTAACGAGGAGAGAGAGTGAAAATACAGAGTTAACGAGGAGAGAGAGTAAAAATAAAGAGTTAACAAGGAGAGAGAGAGTGAAAATACAGAGTTAACGAGGAGAGAGAGTAAAAATACAGAGTTAACGAGGAGAGAGTGAAAATACAGAGTTAACGAGGAGAGAGAGTGAAAATACAGAGTTAACGAGGAGAGAGTGAAAATACAGAGTAAACGAGGAGAGAGAGTAAAAATACAGAGTTAACGAGAAGAGAGTAAAAATACAGAGTTAACGAGGAGAGAGAGTAAAAATACAGAGTTAACGAGGAGAGAGAGTAAAAATACAGAGTTAACGAGGAGAGAGAGTAAAAATACAGAGTTAACGAGAAGAGAGTAAAAATACAGAGTTAACGAGGAGAGAGAGTTAAAATACAGAGTTAACAAAAAGAGAGTAAAAATACAGAGTTAACGAGGAGAGAGAGTAAAAATACAGAGTTAATGAGGAGAGAGAGTAAAAATACAGAGTTAACGAGAAGAGAGTAAAAATACAGAGTTAACGAGGAGAGAGAGTAAAAATACAGAGTTAACAAAAAGAGAGTAAAAATACAGAGTTAACGAGGAGAGAGAGTAAAAATACAGAGTTAATGAGGAGAGAGAGTAAAAATACAGAGTTAACGAGGAGAGAGAGTAAAAATACAGAGTTAACGTGGAGAGAGACACTAAAGACTTGAAAATCATCTCGTTAAATGGTCTTCACTGGTTTTTAATGGTTTGTAAATCATCGTCAGCCTAACAGTGAAATTCTCATCACAGTTTTGTTTAAACCTCAAACTGAAGACGTTTCTGTGGTGGGACTTTTACCCAGAAAACATCCAATCAGAGCTCAGAGTAACATCAGCTGTGGTCTTACTGTCGCTGACTCCAGACGATAGTAGAGCGGCTCTGAATCCACGTCTGTCGCCTCGATCAGGCCGACGCTGGAGTTAACTGCAGTCAGCTGAGGGAGAGGAGACCAACATTCAAACCACGTTTAACCTGAAAGAGCGGAAATCAAGAACTCCTCCTGACTCCTCACCTCGTTCACCTCCAGAGTGAAGTGATTCTGAGCAAAGTTTGGAGGATTATCGTTCACATTCTCAACCAGAACCTCGACGGACTCGTTCACCTGGAGGACAGACAGTCAGGGACCAGGATCAGAGAGTTTCTTCTTACTGTCATGATGGAGGTAATGAGTTTCCTTATCTAAAGATTTAAAGGTGAGGCCTGTTTGAGTGTCCTGTGGGTCTCTAACCCTCAGTTTAGAGTCTGAACCTGACAGTAAAATCCTCCTCTGTGGAGAAATCATGTTGTCAGTGTTGTTAAGAACAATCACAAATCTGTTACTCACTGAGCTGGATCCTTCTCTGCTGCACTGCACCCAAACAACCAGAGCTGCACTGGACAGAGACTGACACACACACACACACACACACACACACACACACACACACACTCTTTAATGACATCTCGAGTATCTGTTACTTGTGTCACTGATTAAACGTTTGATGAGTTGTGGAGAAAACACTTCCTCTTACAGGGCGTCAGGCAGGTTCTCTGTTTACATTCAGTCCATGAACAAAGATGCTTTTTAAAGTTTGACTGGAGGGGCATCCAGGGACCAATCTCTGTACATTATATAAACTGTGAGGGCATCCTGAGGGTACTCTGTTTACATCCATGTAGATTCTCATTCATCCAGGTCATGGTTATCTTGAAGACTCCAAAAACAGACAACACGGTCCAGTTGCCTGTTTTTAGAGTCTTCAAGATACTCGGTTTACATTTGACCCATTAAAATCCTGAGGGTACTCTGTCAACAAACGATCCCTCACAGGGGCCACTAAAGGGAACTTTGTTTACACTTGATCTGCTAAAGTAGACACTAGAGGGTGCTCTATCTACATGTGACCTACTAACAGGGCACCAAAAGGTCATTGAAGCTACATATTTACCTGTGGGGGGAAACTAGATGTTTCCCTTTGTTTGCATGTCACCCACTAAACTTGATAAAGACTGTTCTAGAGAGGAACTTAATTTACGTTTCCAATCAGTGGGTCCCCAGAGGGCGCTTTTCTTTCATTTTCTCTGCTGTAAGGGCGTCAAGAGTGCACTTTGTTTGCACCTTATCAACTCAAACGTTACCTGCAGTCACTTTGTTAATGTTAGCAGGAGAGGCCCTCAGTTTACATTTAATTCATGAAAAGAGCGTCCTGACCCTCAGCACAACCTTACAGTTATTCTGAGAGGTCTTTGTTTTCAGCCATTTAACAATAAAAACACCTGACCAGGTAAACATGAAGGAGTCCTGATGACTCCTATCACCTTCATGTAACATCAGTGTGTGTCCTCACCTCAAAGTCCAGTCCTTTCTTCACCATCAGAGCGTTTCCTCTCAGGTAAAACAGATCCTCAGGGTTCACCGACACCGTCAGAGACACGTCACTGATGGAGCTGATCGTCACCACCTCAACGTCCGCCGTGTTGTTCTCTGGGACCGACACTGGACCAGGAGGAACCGTGCACACTGACGAAAGAGAGAGGAGTCAGGATACAGCAGGTTCGATTTGTTCTTCAGTCTGATCCTCATTATTCTGAGTCGGAGCTTCAGTTTACACTTTTAACTCCTCTGTGTTCGTTTACAGCACCGTAGAGAGAAACAGGCGCTCTCGGTGTCCTTCAGAGGGACATGTTTGACTGTAGGACTGTGGGGACATTTCAGAGCCTGCAGAGAACATGTACAATACTCCGACTGAGACCTTTCTTTTCCTACAAACATCTGAATCTGTTTACACACGCGTCCAGGACTGGAAAACAAACTTCGACCATCTATGTAATCAATATATGTTGAAACAATAAGTCCAACCAAAGCAACACTTTGTCAGTCACTATGGTAACCACCCAGCGTCCAACTCTTTCACTTCGTTTAGTCTGAAAGCCGAACAAGTTTGGAGGTAATTTCATGTCTTAAATGACTGAATCCACACGCTAACAACCCAAAGACTGAACTAACGTCATGATAACTTCCTGTTCGGTCACTTTTCTCCTGGTCTTGTATTTTAGTCGTGATTTTAGTTGTTTGTTCGTCCTTCTTTTATTCCTGTTGGCTTTTTCTCTGTTTGGTCCTGTTGTCAGTTTTTAGCGTTTCCTGTTTTATTTTGTAGTTTCTGCTCCTTGTGTATCTGGTTAAGTTTGACTTCCTGTTTTATTTTGTAGTAGTCAGTCCCTGACTTCCTGTGTTGTCCCTCCTCAGTGATTGTCTGCAGCTGTGTCTCAGTGTCTCACCTGTCTCTTGTTGTTTCTTTGTTTGTTTTCTCCTGTTCGTTTGTTTGTTTGTTTGTTTTTTCTCAGTTGGACGTTTTTGTTGTTTGGATTTTAGTCTTTTGTTAAATTAACTTTTCCCTTTTTAAGTCTGCATGTTGGTGCTTTTGAACCTGTCTCACCTGTCTCTATAAACTGTCCTCAGGCCTCAGAGATCTTTAATATTTGATGTTTTTGTTTCAGAGATAAATCTCTGCTCTTCTCCGTGGGTAAATAGCAGAGAGGACGTTCTTCAGCGGCTCTTTTAAACAAACACTCTTAAACAAAGTGTTTACATCAAATCTCTGTAGTTTCTCTTTCAGGAGATCAAATGTAAACAGAGAACCTTCAGGTTGATTTTGAAGTAAAAAACATCTGTAAGTCTTTTATGGTTCATTTTTTAGGAGCAACAGTGTAAGATCTCAAAGTGCTCGGACCGTAAATGAAGAACTCGCTTTAGTAAAAAGAATAAAAACAAAATGTTCCTCTGGTCGTTGTTTTAGGAGATTCAGAGTAAACAAAGAGCTCTCAGAGTTTTCCTCGCTCTCCAAGTGGAGAGAATTTAAACAAACGGGATGTAAACAAAGTTACCTCTGGTTGTTCTGTTAACAAAGTAACCCCCCCACCACACACACACACACACACACACACACACACTGCTGTTTCTGGTTGTGAAATGAGGTCTGGGTGCTCAGATTATTACCGTCAAAGTCTCAGATCGCACACAGACAGGAAGGACGTTTTCATCTGAATCTAGTTTGTTTTTTAAATCCGACTTGTTTGATTTTTCTTCTGTTTGACTGTTTGACTGTTTGACTGTTTTGAGGTGAATCTAGTTTGTTTAAATCCGTCTGTTGTTTCCTTTCCTCTCTGGTTTATTTGACCTCTGCAGACCTTTTTAAAGGGGGACCAGTCAGACCAGTAAAACCACTGAATTTAACCATCACTGATCACTGAATACTGGAAAACAACGATAGCAAACATCCTCAGCCCCCCCCTGCAGGGACAGACCCCCTCACCTTGGTGTACTTACGTCTCTCAGCAGAACTCAGTGAACACAGACAGAGGAAGCAGCCCAGCAGGACGTGCACAGGTCCGGTCCTCTGGTCGGGGTCCATGTCGGGGTCTCGGAGGCAGACTCAGATGCAGAGTGTGAGGAGGATGAGGAGTGGTGGTACCAGCTGGTACTCGCTCACATAAAGAGCCGTCTGTGCTGCAGCAGAGTGGGAGTCGACTACAGGCCCCATGTTTGTGACTTCATCTGAGCCGCTCATGAAGCTGCTGCCAGCAGAGGACTCCAGCCTCCCACTGAAATACCTGCATCTGTTTAAACCGCACCAGCACTGATGCATCATGGGAGGAGGAATGTTGACAGCTGGAAAAACTTTCTCACAGGGATGAAATAATCCGAGAATGGGATTAGACAGGTTACAGGAGGAATCTGTGCTCGACTGTCTGAGCTGAGTGTGAGGGATGATAACTGTCGGGAATCCCCGAACTTTTCTTTGTATTAAATTCTTTAACCTTTAACATCCGGAACATTTCCTTATAAACCAAAACGTTTGTTTTCGATGATTATGTTCTAAAACCGTCTCTGTCTGTATCCCTGATCTCATCCAGGGTCACGTCCGGGACTGAAGCCCGCCCCAGCGGTTGATGGAGGAGAATAGAGGGTCACTCGGACAGGTCGGAGCTAACAGAGACATATACTCAGTATTTTAATCGTAACATGAGACACAAACCCACAGGAAGTACAAACAAAGACAAACTGAATAAGTCAAAATCAAGACAGACAGAATAAAACAGGGTTTTGGTTTGTCGGCGGGCTGCAGGTAAGGCTGGGCGATAAAACGATAACGATATAGATCGAAAAACGGTCGAGCCCGGACACCCTGAGGAGGAAACCCATTTCAGCCGCTTGTATCTGCGATCTTGTTCTTTCGGTCATTACCCAAAGTTCATGACCATAGGTGAGGATCGGCACGTAGATCGACCGGTAAATCCAGAGTCTCTCCTTACGGCTCAGCTCTTTCTTCACCACCACTGATCGGTGAAGCGTCCGCATCACTGCTGGAGCCGCTCCGATCCGCCTGTCGATCTCCCGCTCCATCCTACCCTCACTCCTGAACAAGATCCTGAGATACTTGAACTCCTACACCTGAGACAAAATGATCAATATCCTTTTCAATAATCGTCATTCTGACATGTTTTGGTCGACTATACGAACAGCCAATGAAAAGGGGAGTTTCTCCGGGTCTGAACCAATCATGTTCTGAATTAGAACCAAGTATCAACCAACTGCAGCGTCGTAGCAGACAGCAGCTCCACCTAACAGCTAATAATTATTATAGTTATTATTATTATTTGTAGTAGTCGTATTGTTTTTATTATTAGCAGTATTATATATTGTTGTTGTTGTTCTTTGTTGTTATTATTTTTTTATTTATTTACTTTTTGATTAAATTTCTGAAGAGTCTGTTCTTTTAATTTTACTGTGCAGCACTTTGGTGAACTTGAATGTTTTTTAATGTGCGATATAAGTACAGCGGATTGTATTGGATATTGTTTTATTATTATTATTATTATTATTATTATTATTATTATTATTATTATTATTATTATTATTATTGTTATTGTTTGAATAAGGCTGTGGTATTTATCAGACGTGTTTCTGTATGAAACAAACTGTCCAAACAGACGATGACAGAGTCACACTGGCACTAACAGGGACACATGACAGCTTCACATGTAAACAACACACTTCTGTGTACACAGACACACACACACACACACACACACACACACACACACAACCTCCTCTGTGTGGGAACAACAGGCTCACAGTTTCATGATGGAGCTCATACATCATGTTTCCTCACCAACACTAAATACACACATACACACACACACTCTGCAGGTTTCCTATCAGACCACTAGAGGGCGCCTGAGCTCCGAGTTAAACTGACTGACGGTCTGATCTGATGGAGGACAGGATTTCAGAAACAGAAATATTGACCTGAAAATTAAATCTGCAAGATTTGTTTAATGATAATGAACATGACCTTTATAATTATTATAATTATTATTTCACAGGAATGGCTTCATAATTATTATTATCATTATTATTATTATTATTATTATTATTATTATTATTATTATTGTTGTTGTTGTTGTTGTTGTTGTTGTTGTTGTTTCCTCAGTTTTAGTGCGGACTCACCTGAAGAGGAGGAGCAGTAAACGGAGAGGGTCTCTGCTTTGATAATCTGTGTTATTACTGTTAAAGAAAACACTGATGAGACCTTTGACCTTTGACTCGTTCACCTCAGAGAAAAGTTCAGGTGTTAATGCGACTGTTCGACCTGTCTTCATTTCCACAAACATCCTTTTTTCTTCTTTCATTCAGCAGGTTTTTTTTAGGTTTCTCAAAAATTTGTGTCACTTCGAATTTTAAGAAGCTTATAAATCAAATTTTCCCTTTTTGATCTGCAAATATTTTACATTTCAAAACACAAACAGGAAAAGAAAAACAGGGAAAAATGCAAATTAACCTTTTGTCCTCGTAGATGTTCAGACAAAACTTTTGAATCCTGCAATAAAAGAAACTAAAATATGGATTTTAATTTTCATGTTAAAGTTGTGGAGATAAACCTCATTTTTTTATTGTTCATTTAAATTCTGTAAGAAGTTTAATAAACTCTCAAATGAGAACTGTAACGTAAACCCTAAAAAGACCAAACTGAGACTGAAATAAAGAGTTAAAAAGAATAAAATAACAAACCTTCTCTTTAAATATTTCCCCACAGAAACGTCAGAGTGCAGAAATAAAGATCGAAATCCATCCAGGAGGTTTCACTCCGAGCACGAGGTGAGGATCTGCTTTAACAGTGTGTGACATGTGTCACACACACACACACACACACACACACACACACACACACACACACACACACACACACACACACACACACACACACACACACAGGTGAACGATTCCTCTCACAGCTTCATGTTCGTTTATTTTCACAGTTTTTCTTCACACCGCCGTCTGTCTGTCTGTCAGCCAATCAGAGCGCAGGAAACTAAGTAGGCAAAGTAGGACTGAGGACAGGAACATGTTCTCATACAGTAACACACACACACACACACACACACACACACACACACACACACACACACACCAAGCATACTGAATACAACAGAGTTCATACCGCACTAAGAAGCTAAAAGTTATCAGAAGTGTTTCATGTTTAGTACTGAGGAGGGTGTCCCTACATGTCCACTCCTGTCCCTACCTGTCCACACCTGTCCCTACCTGTCCCTACCTGTCCACACCTGTCCCTACCTGTCCCTACCTGTCCACACCTGTCCCTACCTGTCCACTCCTGTCCCTACCTGTCCACTCTTGTCCCTACCTGTTCCTACCTGTCCCTACCTGTCCACACCTGTTCCTACCTGTCCCTACCTGTCCACACCTGTCCCTACCTGTCCCTACCTGTCCCCCCGTCCCTGTCAGTGTCTCTGAAGTCTTCACAGATTTCTCTAAAGTCGTCCTCTCTCGTCTTTTTTTAGTTCCCCTCTCACACTCCGCTCTCATTCTCACCTCCAGTTCTTAAAAAAAAAGTGTTTGAAAGAAGCCGCTGACGTCTGAGAGACGGAAATACTCCTCAGAGAAGGAGTCCACTCTGCTCCTCATGATGGATCTGAGGAGAAGGAGGAGGAGGAGGAGGTCCAGAGTCTCCTGCTGCACCGACCCGAACGTTTTACATCCCTACAGGAATAAACAGAGTGGAGAGAGGAGGGAGGAGGAGAGAGGAGGGAGGAGAGGAGAGGAGAGAGAGAGGAGAGGAGGAGAGGAGGAGAGAGAGAGAAGAGGAGAGGAGAGGAGGAGAGGAGAGGAGAGGAGGAGAGAGGAAGAGAGAAGAGAGGAGGGAGGAGAGAGGAGGAGAGAGGAAGAGAGAAGAGAGGAGGGAGGAGAGGAGAAGGAGAGGAGGAGAGAGAAGAGGAGAGGAGGGAGGAAGAGAGAGAAGGAGAGGAGAGGAGGAGGGAGGAAGAGAGAGGAGGGAGGAGAGGAGAGGAGGAGAGGAGGAGGGAGGAAGAGAGAGGAAGGAGGAGAGGAGAGGAGAGAGGAGGAGAGGAGAGGAGAGGAGGAGAGGAGAGGAGAGAGGAGGAGAGAGGAGGGAGGAGAGGAGAGGAGAGAGGAGGAGAGGAGAGGAGGAGAGAGGAAGAGAGAAGAGGAGAGGAGGGAGGAAGAGAGAGGAGGAGAGGAGAGGAGAGGAGGAGAGGAGAGGAGAGGAGAGAGGAGGAGAGAGGAGGGAGGAGAGGAGAGGAGAGAGGAGGAGAGGAGAGGAGGAGAGAGGAAGAGAGAAGAGGAGAGGAGGGAGGAAGAGAGAGGAGGAGAGAGGAGGAGGAGAGAGGAAGAGAGAAGAGGAGAGGAGGAAGGAAGAGAGAGGAGGGAGGAGAGGAGAGGAGGAGAGGAGGAGGGAGGAAGAGAGAGGAGGAGAGGAGAGGAGAGGAGGAGAGAGGAAGAGAGAAGAGGAGAGGAGGAAGGAAGAGAGAGGAGGAGAGGAGGAGGGAGGAAGAGAGAGGAAGGAGGAGGGAGGAAGAGAGAGGAGAGAGGAGAAGAGGAGGAGAGAGGAGGAGAGGAAGAGAGAGGAGAGAGGAGGAAAGGAGGAGGGAGGAGAGCTGGTGTGCGTGTGTGTGTGTGTGTGTGCTTGTGTGTGTGCTTGTGTGTGTGTGCTTGTGTGTGTGTGTGTGCGTGCTGAGTGCGTGCGTGTGTGTGTGTGTACAGAATGAACCCTGCTCCTTTAGGTCTGTAGGTCACAAACAGCGGAATGTCCCTTTAATGAATCTCAGACGCACAAAAACTTTTTTCTTTTTTCGTTTATTTTTGTTTTTTCTGGTGTCATGTGACCTCTCCTCTTTATTTTGTTCCTCCTTACCCCTCCCTCACAGTTCAGAGGTCAGAGGTCACTGCGCTAAGCTAAGCTAAGCTAACTGAGTACTGAGTGGAGGAAAAATGTGGAACTGTTCCTTTAAGACTTTAGAAGACGGTCTTCTTCTGCTGTCGTCGGAGTTTCTCCATCAGGACATCGCTCTCCTCTGTTCCAGACTCTCTGACCTCTGACCTCTGACCTTCAGAGACTGAAGTCTGAGACCCCGACCCGACCCGACCCGGGTTCAGACAGAAAACAAACTCTGAAAAGAGGCGAGAGTCAGTGAGCAGGAACCAATCAGGATCCAGAACCACATCATGTGACCCCAGCTGAGTCTGTGTGTCAGCATCATTCCAGCCCAGAGAGCGCCTGATTGGCTCCAGTGGAGGCGGAGCTCGCCGTTTCCCCCTCCAGAGTGGGTCAGCAGAAGCTCTGGAAACATTTCTTGAAGAACTTCTTGAACTCGGTGTTGAAGACGGTGTAGATGATGGGGTTCAGGGCGCTGTTGACGTAGCCGAGCCAGGTGACGGTGCTCATCAGGCCGTGAGGAATCGTGCAGCTCAGACAGACGGCTCGCGTCGTGTGGACCACGAAGAACGGCGTCCAGCAGAACAGGAAGCAACCTGCAGGGAGACAAAGAGACAGGTCATCCTCTGATCTTTACATGACCTCTAAATCCACGCCGCTCTTTGACGCCGTCGGCTTCGATGACGTCGTCTTTAACCTCAGGGACTGAAACGACCACCGCCGTGTGCCGACAGACAAGACTTTGTCGGACGAACGGACTCAGATCCAGATCAGACTTTTCAGCCGATCTAGCCACTCACCTCCTATGAAGACCTACTCAGACCAGATCAGATAAACACAGAGAAACTGATTCAGGCTGGGACCATCAGCAATCAACAACAGGTGTGAAGGTTACTACCATTTATCTCCACAGGGTGGCGCTATGAGCACAGGGCGGTGTTCAGAGGTGGACCGTAATCATCTCAACAAATTATGTCTAAAGGAACTGGAACCACTTCCTGTTTCATGGCGAGTTGTGAGCGTGAGGAGACGCCACGCCCTTCGATTCGTGAAAGATCCCAGAACTGGACTCACTTAGACCCAGTTCCCCTTCAAAGAAGAACTGGATCACCGTGACCTGGATGACTGCCTGATGGAATCTGGTCTACATGATGGACTTGGTCCTTTCAGGATCCTGGTCCTGATGAGACCATGATGCCTCAGATCCTGAACCATCAGAGTTCTGTAAACTTTATTAGAGTGAGCAGCTGACGGACTCGGACCGTAGACCTGCAGGCGTCCCGGGTTTACCGGGTCAGTTAGAGGAAGAAGACGGATCAGAACTCGAGAACTCACCCACGACCACAGGAAGCACCCTCATGGCCTTCCTCTCGCGGCTGTTGATCTTCGCTCTCTTCTTCCTGGTCAGCTGCTCGCTGAACGTTACCGTGGGAACGGAGTTCTCTCTGTACTGGCGGGGATACGGGATCTCCTGCTGCATGTCGTCGTCCGTGTCGTCGAGCCGACACTGGGCCAGGTCCCTCTCGATGATCCGAGGCAGAGGCATCGGCAGCGGCCCGGGGATGGTGCCTGTCAGCGGGGGGAGGGCGGTGGCGACGGCGGCGTGCTGCAGCTTCCTGCAGGCCTCGATGCTGTTGCGTAGTTTAAGCTTGCGAGCCTCCTCCCAGCGCTGCAGCCCCCTGAAGACCCCGAAGTAGAGGAGGACCATGATGGGACAGGGGATGAAGAAGGAGCAGACGGAGGAGTAAACCACGTAGTTGTTGTCCTCCAGTTTGCACTCACTGGGGTCGCGGTCAGGAACGTTGTTGATACCGAAGATGACGGGTGAAGCCACGGCGAGGGCGAGTAACCAAGTGGCTGCCAGCAGGATGAGCTGACGGTGGTCCACGTGTTTACGGTTGTAGTTCAGAGGGATGGACACGGCGATGAACCTGCAGGACGACAAACAGCAGGTGATAAAAGACAGATCCACTCCTCCCCTCAGCGCTCCATGTCCGGATTTTACCAACAAAGTCAAGACGACTTTTTATCACGCAGCGTTTTTAAAACAGTCAAATCTGTCCATTTTCACCACATGTGGAGGAGCAGCGATTCGCCAATTCAGATCCGTTTGTGAGGCCGATCAGAAGAAGAAGAAGAAGAAGAACCCGCGGATTCATGTTCAACTGCGTGATAAACAGTGTCTGTAACAGAAGTGTTTCTTGTCAAACGGACCTGCTGTAGCGTGTTGTAGCGCCATCGCTAAACTGTCCTCCCTCGGGTCCTGGACTATGTCACTTTATCCTCGTTGTAGAAGTCCTGCAAACATTGTGTTTGCTGGTAGTCTGTTGGCATCTACAGTAGCACCAATGCTTTTGACTTTCACCTTGACTGGGCCCCATTTGTAATGATCTGAAGGATTTATCTGCATTATATCTGAATTTAACTGGAACGATACGAGCGAGCAGGAGCGTCTGTTTGTGGGCGGGGCTTAAGAGGAGAGGAGGAGCTGAGGGGAAAACTGGTTTGGAGGGGTAGAGTTTACATTCAAGATTTCTCCTAAAAACTGGAACTAACTCAGATCCTGACTACAACACCTTTAAAAGAGTTTTAAACCCAACTTAAGATCACTTTATTAAAACACACACACACAGACACACACAAACAGACAGACACAGACACACACACACACAGACACACACACACAAACGGACACACACACACACAGACACACACAAACACACACACACACACAGACACAGACACACACAAACACACACACACACCTGTCCACGCTGATGGCACACAGGTTGAATATGGAGGCCGTGCACAGCATCACATCCATGGTCATCAGGCCGTCACACATCAGCATGTTCAAGGACCAGACTCCACCCTGAAACTGCACACACACACACACACACACACACACACACACACACACACACACAGAGTCATTAGCTGTAATCCTCTTTAGTTTGCACCACAGCGGATCAGCCTGCAGACAAACATTCCTCCGCAGCAGAAACACTTTCTCCTCTCTGACTCCTCCGGAGGTGAACTCCCACATTTTCCCTCCCGTCCTGACTCCTCCTCTAATCCACGGACAGACCGTGGACGCTCCTCTGAGGGGGTTTACCTGCTGCCGCCGTGACCCAGGTGAAGAGATGACGAACACACCTGTGGACTTAAAGGGGAATCCTCTGAGCTGATGACGTTTTCAGGTCAAGAGACGAGCGACAGGTGGCTTTTAATAGCAGCTCTAAAATACACCTGCAGCCTCCCATCACCTGGACATGCTGTTATTATCTACGGAGCACACCTGAGCAGAGCCCGTCATCCTGGTTCAAAAGCATGTTTACCTGTTGTGGTCATCTCCTCTCATACACGGAGTAAACGGACAGTCCTTATTTAACGGACACTTTCACACGCGTCCATGTGGTGATGTCCACTCCAGAGTCCTGTCTGATCTTAACGCTCTGTTTTCTCACACCTGATTCAGTTCTTACCGGGACAAACCCAAACGTAGATCCAGAAGTGTTGGATCATCTCTGCTGTTTTCAGAGTCTTTAAGTTTCCACTGTAATCTTCTCTCCAACAACCTTCTCTTCTGTTTGTCTCCAACAGTCAGGAAATCTTCACATGAGAAAAATAACTGTTCAAATCAGTTCTCGTCTCATCCAAAGGAATATAGTTTTCAGATGAAGTAAGCCTTCAGTCATTCTTCACTAATACTGAGTATTTAATCTCCACATTTCTATGTTTTCTTGAACTAATCTTCAGCTTCATTGAAGTTTGAAGTTTATTTCGATCTGGTCATATCCATTCAATATATACAGTAAATTACAAGAAAAGAAAACCGGACCGAAAAGGCATAGGCTGAAGCAAGAGCTTATTATCGCCTATCCTTCTTACTAAATCAAAATATTCAAAACATCTTACTCCACACGTTAGATAGAAAACAAAAACAAAACAAAGAATAAAAGATGACTCAGAAGAAAGAAAAAAATAAATAAAAATAAATATTAATCAAATTAAATCCAGAATATAAATTAATCCGTAACCTCAATCATTTTTTCTATAATTTTCGATCACCTTGCTTTTAAACAACGATTTGAATTTGTGAATAGTCTGACACGTTTTTAATTCATCATCAAGGGCGTTCCATGAATTCACACCTTTAACCGAAGTCCACTGTTCTTTGGTCTTGGTTCTGGTTTTTATTTTTTCCATCAAATGTGTCCCACGGAGCTCATATTTACATTCCCTTTTTTTAAACATGTTGACAATTTTACATGGCAATGAATTATTATGTACTTTGTACATGGTCTGTGCTGTTTTGTAGTCCACCAGGTCCTTAAATTTTAATGCTCTTAATTTAATGAATAATTTATTTGATGGTTCTCTGTAAGTTGAATTGGTGATAATCCGTACTGCTCTTTTTTGCAACATTTGATCAAAGGAAGAAAAATAAATATGTCATTGATTATATTTAGTATATTTCACTTATTTTAGGGCTGTTAAAGTTATAATCTGATCTTAAAATCGGCATTTTCTGCTTATTTTCTGCTGTTATTTAGTATATTTCACTTTTTTCAGGTCTTTAAAATTTGAAGTAATCTGATCTTAAAACCAGCGTTTTTGTCTGACTTTAATCCTTCCAGATATGTTTGTAGAGATGCTGATTTCTAGACTGAACAGTCTTCACTCATGAAATCTTGTGAAATGATCTTGCTGCACGGACAGATCATTTCATTTAGTGTTTTTATCTCGTTTTTAGTTTTCCTCTTTTTTCCAGTGAGATCCTCAGTCCACATCTGGAGGCGGTCTGTGAGGGAGTGAACCCTTCTGGACCACCTTAAGGACCCCAGCGTCTCCACGGCAACCATCACTTGGATCCACAAACAGAAGGAGACTTTGAATGGAGTTCATTTACATCTGAAGAGGGAGACGAAGATCTGGAGACCATGGAGACCCCATTGTGTGAGCGCTCAGACTAAAACCTGGTCTGCAGGGTCTCCGTTAGAACCAGGTCCATGATGATGATGATGGTCTGAACCACCTGAGAGAGTCCGCCTGTCTGAAGGTCCGTCTTAGACCCGGTCATGTGACTAACCTGATGGACAGTCACCTCAGCCGTTAAAGATGTTCCTCCACATGTTTGGACCCGTTTGGTTCTTCCTCTGTAAGAAGTTCTGACCCGTTTGGTTGTTGTTCCGGCTGCAGTAGAACCTGGAGGTTCTGCTGTTTGTTAAAATTCTTAGTTTTAATTTCAGACGGTCATTTTTTTTCTGCTTCTCCTGACGCTTTCTGACAGAAATAGAAAAAAAAGTCTAAAGATTTTGACAAATTAACTAGTTTGAATATTTCAGGTTCAGTATTTAAACAAACCAAAAAATCTAAACTTAAGTTCAACGAGGGCCGGGCGAGTTTATCAGGATATATTTGTTTTCCTATCAGCTGATATGGATCAATATCAGGATCTAAAAATCTAACAGTGTTTATTGGTCTAATGTCTTTTCCAACACAATAATCTCCTGCATCTGTGAGGTCTTTGTGTCTCTTTGGCGTTTTGTCGTAAGGCGTCGCTCTAGAGAAAGACGACTGAATGGTCGTCTGTTTCAGGCGCCATGGGCTCCTCGCTCCTCTCGGGGTTTGTAACCTTTGGCGTTGCGCGTGCTCTGCGGCGTGGCGCTGCTTCAGGTGGTGAAAAAGATTTGAGGTATTCCCCGACTTTGTGAGAACATGTACTCGACATAATTTACAGTCCACATTACTCTGCTTCATGTCCGACCTCCAAAAACCAAAATACCTCCACACCACCGACGTTTTCCTAACGCCAGTGTTGTGGTTGACATTGATGTGGTCATCTGTTGAGCCTTCATGGTCATTTCTGTCGGGGGTAGCACTCATTTTCTTTGTTTCTCACCAACAGTGCTGTCGGCTTCACCTGTTAAAGTGCTATGGTTGGGTGGAGCTGCTGTCTGCTACGACGCTGCAGTTGGTTGATACTTGGTTCTAATTCAGAACATGATTGGTTCAGACCCGGAGAAACTCCCCTTTTCATTGACTGTTCGTATAGTCGACCAAAACATGACAGGATGATAACTATCGGAAAGGATATTGATCAGGTTTTATATTGATATTGAGGGAAATTAATTTTCAATATATATGGTTATCGTTTTATCGTCCAGCCCTAAGTTCAACTCTTGGAAAGTTTCAGGTAAATTTGTGCAGGTGTGTGTTTTGCTCTTCATGATCATGTTGTTCTTACTGCTGTTTCTCAAACTCTGTTTATTTAATTTGTTTATTATTTTTATTTATTTATTTATTATTTTTATTTATTTATTTATTTATTATTTTTATTTATTTATTATTTTATTTATTTATTATTTTATTTTTATTTATTTATTATTTTATTTTCATTTATTTATTATTTTTATTTATTTATTATTTTATTTTTATTTATTTGTCTTTTGTCTTATTGTTGTCTTACTTCTGCTCCATCTCTTCTTACTCTGAACTTTTTCAGACACTAAAACCAGGTCGTTGGTTTTTGTGATGACTGCAGACTCGGGCCCCCCTCCACAGGGACCCCTGACCCCTCTGACCCCCGTTAGTCCGGTTCTTACCTCTGCGTAGACGAACAGCGGCAGGACCAGAACCGCCAGCAGCAGGTCCGAAAACGCCAAACTGACGATGAAGTAGTTGGTGGTGGTTTTCAGAGCTTTCTCCAGGTACACGCTGATACACACGAGCACGTTCCCACAGGTGACGGTCACGATCAGTACGACCCCGAATATGAGCGCGGGGAGGCTGTGGTCGGGGGCCACAGCTGCGGGCAGAGTGCGGTTCAGCTCAGCGGAGACCTCCGGCATCTTGGCCGCTGCTCGGCGGTGCGCCGCCGCAGACTGACGCGCACTTGATCCGACAAAGAGCGGCTCTCCCCGGGGCAGATTTCATCTATGAGCCGAGTCCAGCAGCTCCGAGACCGGCTGGAGAGGCTCAGGTGTGGTCTGGAGAGGCTCAGGTGTGGTCTGGAGAGGCTCAGGTCTGGTCTGGAGAGGCTCAGGTCTGGTCTGGTGAGGCTCAGGTCTGGTCTGGCAGAGGTAGCTCAGCTCAAAGCCGTGCGCGCTCCGCTCTCTGAACGCAGATCCGCGCATTTCCCGGGAACCAGACAGCAGGACCGCGTCTTCTCCCAGATCCAGACCCCGGTTCTCTTTGACATGAAGTCCACAGATACCGGTTCACTCTGCTGGTACTACATGGATCGGTTTCCTGTCGGCTCCTCAGCCTGGTCCTGAAGGAACAACTTTAGTGAGAGGAGGAATCAGAGCCGAGCTTAAATCCATCTGCGTAAATCAGATTACTGAGTGTCTGCTGTCCAATCCCTGAGCAGGAGGGAGCAGGAGAGAGCAGGAGAGAGCAGGAGAGAGCAGGAGGGAGCAGGAGAGAGCAGGAGAGAGCAGGAGGGAGCAGGAGAGAGCAGGAGAGAGCAGGAGGGAGCAGGAGAGAGCAGGAGGGAGCAGGGGGGAGCAGGAGACCCACCAACTCCACAGAACAGGCTCCTCACCTCAGTCTCAGGATGGGTGAGCTGCAGGTGAGCCATAAATAAAAAAATCACTTATTTAGTAAAGACATAGGGGAGACCGGGGCTTGTTGTTACACTCTTCTAGAGTTCAGCTCCATTTTTCTCTGATGTGAGAACTTTAATAACCTCTAAATTCTGTTTCTAATCAGAACTCCTGTTTTTGGACTTTAGTGACTTCAGTCTGGTTCTGGTTCTGGTTCTGGTTCCGGTTGGATATCTGTGTTTGTCTGAGGCGCCAGGTTTCTCTGTTTCATGGCCTCAAACATTGGCCTCTGGTTTATGATCAAGTCCAGAACACACCTGAACACACCTGTGAACCCCAAATGTGAATAAAAGACGACTGAATGAGTTTTAAAGATAAAGACACGAAGTCCAGGACACGTGGACTCTGATGATCCCCAGACCATCAGGGATGCTGGTTTACTGGTTGTTGGTGATCCTCTTTGTATGGTTCAGTTCTGACCTGCATTGTGGATCCATGTGGACCCTGATCAGGTGTGGGTCCATCAGACTCACACCGGAGCGCCGTCTCACCGGAGGTCACTCCGTTCGCAGTTTGTGGAAATGGACTGAGAAACTGTGGGCGTGGATTTCTGAACACTATTCCCTTTCTCCAGAGACCAAGAAATGGACCGTTTCCATGGCGACCGGGTCTGTTTATAATAGGTCCAATTTAGCGTGATGTAAAAGGACGGATTTAATGTCTGAACGCTGAGAAAGGTCGAATGTCAAACAGGATGAAGCGTCAAATCTTCAGTCTGAATCATCCTCACCGTCTCCAGAGGAAGAAAGACGTCTTTACTGAAGTGTCCCCACAGTTTATGTGTCCACACCGAGACGACAGACTGAAACCAGCTCGGCTTCAGACTCCAGGACAGATCTTTAAGAAGGAGAGAAAAACCACAGAGGACGGACAGACAGAAGAGGACAAAGAGGATGGACAGACAGAAGAGGACAAAGAGGATGGACAGACAGAAGAGGACAAAGAGGACGAGTAAAAATAATACAGGAACAAAAGACGGAGAGTTCACGAGACAAACACAAGGATGAGGACTGAGAAGACAAAAGAAAGAAGCTGAAGACAAAATGACCACAGAAAGACTTAAAGACGAGACAGAGGACAGACACACGAGAAAGACCAAGGACAAGGATGAAGGAGACAAGGACAAAACTTCAAGACAACAACAGAGGACGAGGACGATCTGAAGGAAAAGGGAGAAGACAGAAAAAAAAATCACTCAGAGGAAAGAAAAGTCAGCTGGAGACGAGAGGAAGAGGACAGAAGTGAACAAAGAGGACAAAGACGAAGACACAACAAAGACACGATGAAGACACGATCATCTGAAAAAATAAGACTGAAGAGTTTGGAGAGTGAAGCTCAAACTTTGAAGTTTAGTAAATAATATCAGAGAGGAACAGCTGAGTGTCCGGTCCGTCCTCTGGCTCCCCCTGCTGGCTCTTTAACATCCTTACAGCCTGTCGTCTTTACTTGAGAGGACAGGACCCACTGAAGACACTCTGGGATCTCTCCTGTGAAGACTGAGTGTGTGTTCGTGTCTCCACTCCAGTTTGATGAACGCCGTCCTGCTCAGCGAAATTCTCACGAAGGCGCCACATGTGGATCCTCCTCTGTTGAAAATCGTCTCTAACAGACGTCTCGTTTCTTCTCCTTTAGTGTCTTTTCACCAGAACTCCCAGGAGAATGATCCCGACGTGTGTGAGGGACAAATCTGTGAGTGATCGGAGAGTTTCTCCACGACTCTGAAGAGGAAAAAAGCTCAAACACTCGTTTTCCTGCACTTCCTGTCACTTTAATGATCTTTATCAGGGTTTCATATTTGAAGGAGCTAATCGCTGATCAATAAAACATGATACTGTACATGTTGTCAATGTCCAGTTAAGCAGGTCTGAAACAAAACATGAAAAATCAAAAACCCTCTTTTTCTCTGACCTCTGTTGAGACCCGGAGGACCTGCTGGGACTTTGACTCACCTGTGTTGAGGTCAGGTGTGTCTGAACATCGTTATTATTGATCTGTGAATCAGTTCCTATGAATGAGTCCTCTGGTGTTATCAATAATCTGAGTTTAAGGTCATCCACTCAGAGTTGATCAGTTTTTTCAGTCTCTAAACCTGCAGCTGATCGAGTCCAACCTGCTGCTGCTGCTGCTGCTGTGGTCCACTCACTCCTCCGGTTCTGTTGAGGCCTGAAGATAAAAAAAAAAATAATTAAAATAATAAATTAATCAATAACAAAAACCTTTGAACGTTAATCTGCCTCCAAACTTTGGACCCAAACACCTGTCTGCACACTTTTAATCAAAACCTTCATCTGTTTCAAGTTTAATGAGATTTATACGGCGGCCTCAAAGGGACACACACAAACTGAGAACATGAGAAACATACTCAGTCAGACTAAAATCATTTAAAAAAAACACAAAAATATTTTTAGGAAGGCAAAAAATTATTCCAGGACCACAAAAACAACAACAACACCCCCCCCCCCCCAAAAAAAAAAAATATATATATATAATAATAATAATAATAATTTAATAAAACGCAAGATATTTTATTAAACACTACAATATATTTAAGTATCAGAAAAATCTTTTTGAAAAATCTCCAACACATGAAATAAAATAACTCAAATAATATTTTATAAAACCAAAAACTATTTTAAAAATACTTAAACCATTTCATGACTGAAAAATGTTCCTTTAAAGAAATTCATGAAGAAATTTAAAAGACTATTAAAACTTAATCTACTAAAGTAATTTATGAAACATTGACACACAAATATCACAAAGTATCTGACTAAACAAAATCAAAAATATTTCCCAAGTAATAAAAACTTTTTCCTAAAACACATGAATAAAAACTGAAATAGGTAGAAAAAATATTTTAGGAAACACAAAACCTACTTAAAAAAAATAAAAATATTCCCTTAAATTGTGATTATAATTATTTTTATTCAACCCAAAAATGTTTCAGGAAATCTTTTTTTTTTTTTCATGGAACTTTTTAATTTATTAAAAAATCCGAATCAAAGTTTTTTTTTTCTGAGATGAAAAGTTTCCTGTTCATTAAAATGTAAAAAAAATTAAATTCATTAAAAATGTTTTTGTGTAAAATATTTTTGAGAATTGTAAATTGGTTTCTGTATTCATTAGTTGTTTGTGTATTGGACCTCCAGGGCCACCGTAGTTTCCCTTTTAATGAGTTTTCGTCAAACAGACGGGACAGTGATGTAGATCTCAAACTCACGGCCATCAGAGCGTCGAGCTCCTGACTCCAGCCGAGGGCGTTGACCAGAGCTTGGACGCCACTGACAACGTCACCCAGCTGGACGACATCCTGAGGCCGCCGCCGCCACGCAAACGGACCCACCAGATCCCTGTTGATGAGCAGACGAGGGACGGCGCTCCGCACGGCACCCGCTAGACTGGCGAATGGCTCCACCTTCAGGACAGAGGGGGAACAGCAGCGAATCAGAGAGGGGCGGAAAAATGAAAGAATAAAAGGGAGGGGGCGGGACTATCCATCACCTCCAGAGACGTTCCCATGACGATGAGCAGGTCTGCCAGAGGGAAGTCTGTCAGGTATTTAAAGAAGTGACGGGGAAGCTCCTCCCCAAAGAAGACGATGTCAGGCTTCACCACACCTGTACAGGTGGGACACCGGGGGACCGTCCCACTCATCACATCAGGCTGGAAGAGACACAGAGACACTGATCTGAGGACCAGACTGGTTTTTGACTAATCCATCATGTTGTCAGGACGGGTTTCTTCCAACTCCGTCTCCTGGCCAAGGTCAGAATGTTTTTAAACCGTCACGACCTTGAGATAACCGTCCACGCTCTAATCAGGTCAAGATTAGACGATTAAAATTCACTTTATGTCGGCATTTCCCGATCATCTCTGAGTCGACTCGTCCGAACGCTGCTGCCCGTCTTTTAACACTAACAGACGTGAGAACATCACTCCTGTCCTCAGCTCTCTTCATCGTCTTCTCGTCTCTTTTAGGATCGATTTTAAACTTTTAAAGTTTGTTTTTAAAACTCTTAACGGCCTCGCCTCCATCTATGTAACTGAGCTTTTAACCGTTCAGGAGCTCTGAGGTCGTCAAACCAACTTCTGCTGGAGGTGTCCAGGTCAAAACACAAACACTGAGGTGACCGAGACGTTTCAGCCGCTGGTCCGAGACTCTGGAATAAACTCTGAAATGAGACTGATTTCTGACCTGGACCTTTTTAAATCCTGATTGAAAACGTTTTTATTTCTGCTGACTTTTAATACCCAGTAGTGCGGTGACACTTTATTTGATTGTATTTTATTCTATTTTTTTATTGTTTTTATTTACTTCCTGTGTATTATAAAGAACTTTGGTTCACTGAGAGGGTTTTTTAAAGGGCTGAATAAATAAAGAACATTTACATTTAGACTTCAGGTTCTCCAGATCCTGACGGCCTCTTTGCTCCCTCTGTCCCTCTGCTTTACAGACACACACGCATACATACATTTGCCTCCTTCTCTCTTCTCTCCTCTCCTCCTCTCTCCTCCTCTCCTCCTCTCCTCTCTCTCTTCTCTCCTCCTCTCCTCCTCTCTCCTCCTCTCTCTTCTCTCCTCCTCTCCTCCTCTCTCCTCTCTTCTCCTCTCCTCTCTTCTCCTCTCCTCCTCTCCTCCTCTCTCCTCCTCTCTCCTCTCTTCTCCTCTCCTCCTCTCCTCCTCTCTCCTCCTCTCTCCTCCTCTCTCCTCCTTCTCCTCCTCTCTCCTCCTCTCCTCTCTTCTCCTCTCCTCCTCTCTCCTCCTCTCCTCCTCTCTCCTCCTCTCCCTCCCCCTCGATTGAACGTTTTTGTGAATCTGGGCTGTTTCATGTTTTCATGCGTGACTCACTCGTAGCTCCTCCCCCTTGTACTTCCTCCTGCAGACAGTGCAGGTCGCCGTGGCAAATGTCCCGTGAGCCTCCACCAGCATCTCTGGAGGAATCCCTGCCACTGCAACACAGGGCGGAGTTCAATATTAACCTTTGACCCATCTTTCTGTCCAATCAGAAGTAAGGACATGAGCACGTACGCCTCTCCAGGCCGTCGATGTTCTGCGTGTACATCCTGAGCAGCTGACCCTTCTCCTGCAGCAGACGCACAAAGTAGTGCGTCAGGTTTGGACGGTAGTTTCCAGGATATAACTCTTTAGCCAGAGCGAAGAACGGCTTCGGGTTGTGATGGAAGAAGTTGATCTCAAATATGGCCTCGGCGTACGGGAGCTCGTACTGCTGCAGGTTGTCATAGAGACCGCTGCCTGGAGACCTGAGAGGAGACCATAATTACAGAGCTGAGACACAGGAAACCACCTGAACCTCCTCACCTGAACCCCCTCACCTGAACCTCCTCACCTGAACCTCCTCACCTGAACCTCCTCACCTGAACCTCCTCACCTGAACCCCCTCACCTGAACCTCCTCACCTGAACCTCCTCACCTGAACCCCCTCACCTGAACCTCCTCACCTGAACCTCCTCACCTGAACCCCCTCACCTGAACCTCCTCACCTGAACCTCCTCACCTGAACCTCCTCACCTGAACCCCCTCACCTGAACCCCCTCACCTGAACCTCCTCACCTGAACCGCCTCACCTGAACCCCCTCACCTGAACCTCCTCATCTGAACCCCCTCACCTGAACCTCCTCACCTGAAACCCCTCACCTGAACCCCCTCACCTGAACCTCCTCACCTGAACCTCCTCACCTGAACCCCCTCACCTGAACCTCCTCACCTGAACCTCCTCACCTGAACCCCCTCACCTGAACCCCCTCACCTGAACCTCCTCACCTGAACCTCCTCACCTGAACCTCCTCACCTGAACCCCCTCACCTGAACCCCCTCACCTGAACCTCCTCACCTGAACCTCCTCACCTGAACCCCCTCACCTGAACCTCCTCACCTGAACCTCCTCACCTGAACCCCCTCACCTGAACCTCCTCACCTGAAGTCTGGGATCCCGCTGGGTGTGCTGATCCCGGCTCCGGCCATCACCACCACCCTCCTGAAGTGGCGCTCTCTGAGGCCTTGAGCCACACCCTGCAGGGTCAGCTGCTCGCCATTCTCACCTCCACCCCGAGAGAAAAACCCTCGAGTCACATGACTGAAGGGAAGGAGCGTCAATCTGCAGAGAAGAAGAAGAAGAAGAAGAAGAAGAGAGGGTGAAATAGACGACAGTCTGTAAGCCGCTGGTTTCTTGTATCACATAGAGCAGTGGTTCTCAACTGGTGGGTCCCGACCCAAAAGTGGGTCACGAACACGTTCTGGATGGGTCGAGAACAGCTGGTCACACTGTGAAAAAGGAGTGTCTAAAAACGAGATAAAAACACTAAATCTGAGAGAAAAGGGACTAAAAACAAGATAAATTATCTGTCCGTGCAGCAAGATCATTTCACCTGACAAGATTTCTTCAATTAAGATCTAAATCTAGAAATCAGCATGTCTACAAAATGTATTTGAAAGGATTAAAGTAAAACAAAAATGCCGGTTTAAAGATCGGATTACTTAAAATTGAACTTTTACAGCCTCAAAATAAGTGAAATGTGCTAAATATAAGCAATGACATATTTAGTTTTCTTACTTTTATCAAATGAAGCTGAAGATTAGTTCAACAAAACACAGACTAGAACTGATTTGAACAGTTTTTTTTTTCTCATGTGAAGATTTCCTGATTATTTGAGACAAAAAAAAGAGAAGGATGTGTTTGAAATAAGATTAAAGTGTTTAAGACTTCAAAGAAGAAATTCAGTCTGAAAACAGGAGAAATGATCCAACACTTCTGAATCGAAGTTTGGTTTTGTCTCGGTAAGAACCGAATTATTTGCGGCGCAAAAAGTAAATATTTAATCCTCATCTGATGTTTGATTGTCTTTTATTTTGGAAATATCTTCTTTTAAAAGGCATGCGTTCTGTCCTGGTCCTCCTCAGTTTCTTATGAATGTGGCCTGAATGCAGTAAAAATACATACATTTTTGGTCTTTATTTTGTTTAATTTGATTTTTATTCACTTTTGTCCTCCTCAGGGTCTTCTGAATTTGCTCTGAATGAAGAGATAAGTCACATTTTTCATGTTGCTGGTCTCCATTTTGTGTGATTTGATATTTTCTGTTTATGTAACTTCAGTCATTGTCGTCCTCAGATCATGTGCTCTGAAATACACTTTACTCAATAAAAACAGTGTATTTATGTTCAAGATTTTTGTCTTAAAATGATTTTTTATAATTTATTTTCTTGGTTTGAATTTTATAAAAGTGGGTAGTGACTTAGGGACCGTGGGAAAATGTGGGTCGCAGAGTGAGACCAGTTGAGAACCACTGACATCGAGTTTTAGCTGAAGTCCATATGAGCTGGACCAGGGTCTGGGTCAGGGTCAGGATCTGGACCTTTGGGATTGTGAGCAGTTTTACTCTGCAACAGATTTTAACATGATAACAACTTTGTAATAATATTTGGGTTTTTTTTTAGCTCACACTTTCCTGTTGACTGATCAACATGTATCTCTTTGTGCACTGATCCTCAGATTTATCAGGAGAAACATGCTGATGTCTGTCATGTTTGATTTACCTGCACGGAGCTGCAGCACCTGAACCTGAAGCCACGCCCCTCTGACCCCTCTGACCTGTAAAAACACACCTGTGAGAAACAATATGAAACCTCGTTTATTCTCAGCTCTGCGTGGATCACTGACCGTGTACAGAGAGAGTCCTGCTGATCCTCAGACTGAGGGAGAAGTTCAGTCTGACCGGAGAAAACAACCGGGAGGAGCTGAAGGAGGGAGACATGAACCCGACCGAGATCAGCTCAAACTCCGCTGCATGACTTTAACCTGAGACTGAGCGGAGACACAAATATCAACCTGTTTAAAGGGCAGACAAGAGAGAGAGTTCGTCCTTTGACCTCTTTTAGGTACCGTAATGTCAGCTGTAGAGGAGCGTTCAGGCAGGAAAAGAGTGTCCGGGTGCCGACACCGAAGTTCGGATCATATTCGTCCCTCCTGAATAAAACTGCAGCGTTCCATCATAGAGGAGCCCGGAAGTGACGAATGAGAAACTAACTTCAGCGCCGTGTCCGTTTGTGTCTCTGTTTTTTTTCCTTTTGTAATAAAATACAAATCTATGGAATCAAAACACCAAACAGCGGGAACAACATTTTCTTAATAGATATAAAATCGAGCGAGAATTTTCCACTCTTAAAACGCCGAATAATGTTCCAATCATCCTTTGCGTTCAGAAGCAGAGAAACATACAAACACTCATAAAACCTAATCAATTATCTGAATGAGACAGGGCTAATCGGCAGAATTTGGTTGTATTGATTTTATTTTATTTTATTTTTTTATTATCTAAACAGCTGTTGTTCCAATCTTTAGTCCGGTAGGTGGCGGTAATGCTCCTTTAAACAGGATATCAACCGTCAAATTAAACCGAAGAAGAAGAAGTGAAGCAGCGTAGCACAGCAGGCTAATATAAAGATCATCACTTTTATCGATCAGACCGAGAAATAAACTCAACTTCACAATGAAAGATGTCAGCGGATACCTCAAACAGCAGCAAAGCAGCAGCTCCACGCCGGAGATGGCGGCGGAATGGCACACTTTGGAGGAATATTACAACAAAAGGTGACAGAATAATAATCAGCTTTCTCTGTTAGCTTAGCTGTGCTAATGCTAGGCTAACTCATTCAGCGCTGAGTCACGGACGGAGTTAGCTTAGCTTCGGCTAATGTTAGCATTAATAATGTTTACATTTTAGAGGTTTAAAAACTGAAACTAGTCCGATAAACAACAGGATTAAAGAAGTTTAAACCGGAAACTTTAATGTTTATCAGTGAGAGGATGATGTTTGAGTCTCTTCAGTAAATCTGGAGTTTAATGCAGCATGTTAGCATTTATCATCTATTTTAACTTTGTCATCAGCTGTAAAAAGAGTTTATTTATGTGACAACAAGGTAATTAAAGCCTTTTAAAATGATTAAAAACACCAGTCAGAGACCAAAGTGAGAGAAAATTAGGTCTAAACAGAGGAGTTTGGTTATTAAGACAGTTGTTTTTAACACAAATATATAAAAGTTAATATACCTGTAGAGCTGACCTTACTATAACCTGTTCATGATCAGCAGGTTTGTCTCAGTCTGGATTAAAGGAGCTCAGAGTTTCAGCTTTCGTAGTTTGTTCAGACCTGGACCAGGTGATCTTTGCGGTCCGGATGGTTCATAGTAGGGCTGGACGATAAAACGATAACCATATATAACGAAAATTAATTTCCCTCAATATAAAACATGATCAATATCCTTTTCAATAGTCGTCATTCTGACATTTTTACATCGACTATACGAACAGCCAATAAAAAGGGGAGTGTCTTCGGGTCTGAACCAATCATGTTCTGAATTAGAACCAAGTATCAACCAACTGCAGCGTCGTAGCAGACAGCAGCTCCACCCAACCATAGCACTTTAACAGGTGAAGCCGACAGCACTGTTGGTGAGAAACAAAGAAAATGAGTGCTACCCCCGACAGAAATGACCATGAAGGCTCAACAGATGACCACATCAATGTCAACCACAACAAACCAAAACCGCTCAGAACTTTGTAAACCAGCAGCAGGACTCTAAAGTCTAGGATCTGCTCTGGTCCTTTATTTCTAGAAGTCCTCTTTAGGAGGCCGAGTTTGTGATCCTGTTTCTGAACTCAGTTCTGTGTTTCTTTGTTTTCGGCTGTAATGACTGAAGTTGTTCACGGATCTTTAATCTCCATCACTCCTCCAGTATCCTCAGTTTAATCCTTTTTCTCCGGGGTCAGATCTGCTCAGTTCTGGTTTCTTCTTGTTTTCTATAATCTGAGGCAGGTGGATATTAGATAGAAGAGGCTCCAGGAGGGAACCTTGAGGAACCCCACATCATTTGTTCATTCATTCATTTGTTTGTTTGTCTGCTGAGATGTGAAGTTACGTCCTCAAAGACTCTAAAGAGATGAGTCATGAGTGAAGTGGCGTTTGTCACCTCTGAGTTTCCTTCTTCACAGATTGTGGCATCAGCTGACTCTGAAGCTGACCGAGTTTGTTAAAGATCCCTGCTTCAAAACAGGAGATGGCCTCATACAGGTACGTGGAAACCTGCAGACTCTAATGAGAGCCGACCGTCTGTTTGGTGTTTTTCTGCTGAAGTTTCTTCAACTCATCTCCTGTCATAAAACATACAGAAATAAAAAAATGATTTTTACACATGAAAGTAAAATAAAAACAGATTATCAACCTAAGAGAGATTATTTTAACTGAACAAACACGCTGCGTTCCCGTTTGTCTTTACTGTAACCTCTTTTTTTTCTCTTTTAGCTCTACGACAACTTCCTCAGTGACTTTGAACACAGGTGAGACACACGAAGAGCGGCGCTCTGTTTTCTCTGATCTTCTGTCGTTCTCGATGATTTCATGTTGTCTCTCTCTCTCTGTCAGAATTAACCCCTTGTCCCTGATGGAGATAGTTCTGTATGTTGCCCGACAGATGACAGGTGAATATCAACACGACCGAACCGTAAATACCTCCTGACTTCCCGCAGGTTTTTCTTCTTCTTCTGATTGACTTCTGTTTTTGTTTTTTCCAGATCCTAAAGAAGCCATCACTTTTCTGGAAAAGACCAAAGAAAAGGTCAGTCTGAAGAAACCAACACACAGCAGATACTCTGCTGCTCTGAGTAATAAGACGTAACTGAGTCTGTTTTTTCCTCCACTTTGACGCGTCTGTGTCTGATTCAGGTGAAAAGTAGTGATGAAGCCGTTATTCTCTGTAAGACGTCCATCGGCAGCCTCAAACTGGAGATCAACGATCTTCCCGCCACGAAGGTAAAACCTCCTCGACTCTCACTTTTCTCTCCATCTGTTAATTAAAGTGTTTGATAAGTCTTTTAACACGTGTGATCAGCTGATGACGGCAGCAGCTGTTAGACAGATCCTCAGCTGTGAGCTTCACGTCCTCAGGAGAGTCTGATTCCTGATTTCTGCTGAAAACCTTTAGTTTAGTCTAGTTAAGTCTTTCAGTTGGAGTTGATCTCCTGTGTCTGCAGAGATGTCCAGACTTCAGAGCGAATGTTTGTTTGTCCCTCCAGAAAATCATCGAGGAGGTGGAGGAAATGTTGAATAACCTTCCAGGCGTGACGTCGGTGCACGGACGGTTTTACGACCTCTCCAGCAAATATTACCGCATCATCGGAAACCACGCCTCCTACTACAAGGACGCCCTGCGCTACCTGGGCTGTGTGGACATCAAAGACCTCCCAGGTGGGCTGAGGCATGATGGGAAAGATTTTTAGAGTTTGATGGCGGTTTGAGCGAGGGTTTGACTGATTGGATGTTGATGTTTCCTCCTCAGAGACGGAGAAGCAGGAGCGAGCGTTCACTCTGGGCCTGGCCGGACTCTTAGGAGAAGGAGTCTACAACTTTGGAGAGCTGGTAACTCCACCCACCTTCTGTGTTGGTCATCAGCTGATCTGCTCCATGATGCTGACCGTCAGTGTGTGTGTGTGTGTGTGTGTGTGTGTGTGTGCGTGTGTGTGTGTGTGTGTGTGTTTGCAGCTGATGCATCCTGTGCTGGAGTCTCTGAGGAACACAGACAAACAGTGGCTCATCGACACGCTCTACGCCTTCAACGGTGGAAACGTGGAGAAGTTCCAGAGCTTCAAGTCGGCCTGGGGTCAGCAGGTGATGACCGACACCGGCGACGACCCGCAGACCGGGCGCCGTTTCTTTAAAACACGCATTTGTCGTCAACATCGGGGTTTGTTTTTGAGCGTGAAGTGACGACATGTCTCATGTGGACCGGTCAGTCTCAGTCCTCCATAAGTGTGAGCTCAGAAGTCTAAACCAGGAGATCCAGATCCATGATTTCATTTTGACAGCAGAGGAAGTTTTATCGGCGTCTGTCAGATTCTCAGGGCGGCCATTTTCCTCCGACATCATCTTCATACTGTCGACTGGAACCTGACCGAGACTTCGACGTCTGTTTCTGACGTCTCTATACAGACAGCCACATAGACATATAAGCAGTAGATTGTGTCCTTCCAGAGGAGGAAATCTACTTCTAGACTTCTAGAATCAGCATCTCCTCATCCATGGTGTCATCGGGGTGAAATGACGTCTAAAAACCTTTCACTTGTTCGTCTCCGCTGGAGTGTTTTATTTTGAAAAGAAGCCGGATGTTTTATTTTGTGTCTGTGCCCGACTTCCTTTCCAGCACGGGTTAATCTGTGCTGAATTTATCCGCCATGCTCCGGCGTCCGGAAAAAATAGAACTCTTGTGATCAGCTGAGGAGTCCGGCGATCCGCAGAGGAACGGAAAGAAGTCGGTGTAAATTGACACGTTAACTTGAATGGTTACGATCAGCTACGATCGGAGGATACGACCTTTTAGACGATCAGGATGAAGGGGGAGGTCGGGGGTCAGAGTGACGAGATGAAGTCCTAACAACAGATTTTTTTTAAGGTGTGAGATGATCGATCTTTATTATGAGGAACAGACATTATACCGACCTTTAACCCCAGAACATGACGTCATATCTCCGAACTCTGACTTCTCACGCTGTCTCTCAAAGTGCCGACATTTTTCTCATGATTTCTGTTTTTTTTTTTCTTATTTTAAAAAGTTTGTATTTCTGTTTTTTGTTTTATTTTTTCTTCTCCTCTTTTTCTTCTTCTCACTCCGGTCGAATATTCTCAGTAGAGTTTTCGTACCGCGCCGTAAACACGTTTATTTCCGCGCTCACGTTTGACATCTTGGCGCCACGCTCTCCTCATCAGGTGATTGTTTGTTCTCCTCCTTTTGTCCGTTTGTCTTTAAACGCTCTGAACTTTTTCGTCTCTTCTCTTCACAGCCCGATCTCGCCGCTCATGAAGCTAAACTGATGCAGAAGATCCAGCTGCTCTGTGTGATGGAGGTGAGAGACAGACCGACCCACAAAAAAACACGCTCATGTGAGAGGAACTTAGAGGAACCCAGACTCCTCAGGAGGAGTGAAGAGAAGATGATCATTTCAAACGTCTCTTCTTCTGTTCCAGATGACTTTCACGCGCCCCGCCAACCACAGACAGCTGACCTTCACGGAGATCGCACAGAGCGCCAAAATCCCCGTTAATGAGGTCAGTGCCTTAAAGCAGCTCCTGAGTAGATGTTGATGAAACAGGATGGACCCTGATGGACCAGAGAGGTTCAGCAGATGGACTCATAGATGAACGTGATGGTGACTCTGCTGCTGCTGTTCTTCTGCAGGTGGAGCTGCTGGTGATGAAGGCTCTGTCTGTGGGTCTGATTAAGGGCAACATCGATGAGGTGGACCAGAAAGTGCAGATGACCTGGGTGCAGCCCCGAGTCCTGGACCTGCAGCAGGTCGGTCCTCACTCGGTTTTTTCTTGTGTTTCCTCTGAAGCTTCTTTCTGTTTCTGTGTAAAAGAAGTCCAGAGTTCTTAGAGGAACAACCAGACAGGTCCAGAGTTCTTCAGATCTGCTCCCACTGATGCAGGTTTTAATCTGAAGTATTTAGATGTTACTCAGAAACACTCGTGGTCTCGTTGTGTCTCACCTGATGTTTCGTGTCTCAGATTAAAGGGATGAAGGAGCGTCTGGACTTCTGGTGTGGAGACGTGAAGAACATGGCCATGCTGGTGGAGCAGCAGGCTCACGACATCCTCACATAAACCTCTGAGAGAAGACCCTCCCTGCTTCTGTTTTCTATTGTTTTCTACCACCTCTTTATTCTTCTGAACAAAGTGTATTTGTTGATTTCCAACCTGGACTTTACAGAAACACCGAGCTGCACCAGGACGGTCCCAAAGTCCGAACGTCTCCTTAAAAACGAATAAAAAGTTCTGAAATGACCTTCAAGTCCAGGACGGCCTGATGTGGTTTCTCTTCTCCAAGTCTTCACTGTTTCTGTGAATTATATTCTTAAAGTCGTGTTTGTTTGAGAGAAAACAGACATAATTCAGTTCAAACACTGAAAGATCATTTACTTTACTGATAGAAATATAACGCTCTCAAACTCGCCCAGAGGTGTGTAGAGGGAGAACTGACACCTCTCTCTCTCTCTCTCTCTCTCTCTCTCTCTCTCTCTCTCTCTCTCTCTCTCTCTCTCTCTCTCTCTCTCTCTCTCTCTCTCTCTCTCTCTCTCTCTCTCTCTCTCTCTCTCTCTCTCTCTCTCTCTCTCTCTCTCTCTCTCGACCAAAAGGATTATGAAAAAATGTTTTAGATATCTCAGAATTCCAGGATAAATAGTCAGTAAAATGTTTTTAATCACGATTATTTTTTTAGTTCTTAAAAAAACGGATATTTTTATTCTGACACACACGCTCTCTTTAATCTGGTAACTCTGATATAATCTCATAAACTCAGAACTGCTTTTTTAATATCCAGCACAGGCGCCCTCTGCTGGACTCTGTTATAACTGCAGGCTGTATTAAACCTGCAGTTATAATCCAGGGCAGCAGAGGGCGCCCCAAATCTGTATGATCGACTCTTTCAGGACTTCAGACCCCTCGGTGGACAGCTGAAAAAACCCAGAAGAAGAATTCAGAGCGTATACGTAGACGCCTCGTAGGCTGACGTGCGGCAGCCATCTTGGATGGGTCATGCGCCCTCAGTGCATTCATTTCTACTGAAGGAGGTCGGTGTGCTAAACTATATTCACCGTAACTCCCTGAGTTTTTACACGAGTTTCTATTCATTTTTAAAAATGGGAACATTCCATACTGATGAACATTTACATGTAAATCTGTGGGATTATAGCCAAACGGTTAATTTCCATCCCCAGTCCCATCGGCAGGTTGATATTAAACATAAAACCAATAATGTTAAAAGTACAAACAGCATGACAGAGACAGTAAAACACTGACAACACAGACATAATATACAGAAACACCGAACACAGACCAGAAACTAAGTGACCAAAAGAGAGAATTCTAAAGAGCTAAAGAGCTAATTAAAGTGTCATGTGCTAAAGGTGTTTAAAGTGACATTTACTACAGTACAGCTTGTGAAAGTGACGAGTGCAGAAGTGCCAAATTACATCGAATTACAGATGAGTGTCTAAAACTGCACATGGTTTGTTTACATAAATATATTATATTTACCCTTTATAACAAATTTGCCTTCATGAATGAGAATATGTACGCCAGAACAAACCAAGAGTGGGACCCTAAATCAATTAACCAATTAGACAAGAGAAACAGGTTCAGAGATGATGATGATGATGATGATGATGGCAGGTCTGGTTTTCTAACAGCCATGACTGGAGATGTTGAGGGTTGGGGGTTCACGTTTGGTGCTCGGTTATTTGGTTCCAGGATCGGGATGAAAGGAGAAAACAGCTCGACCAAAGACACTTTTCCTGTCACCTCCAGAACGTCCTCTGGTTGATCTGTTTGGATTTTTTTAATAAACTGATGAGGTGGAGGTGGAGCTTATGAATAATTTTATAGATCAATACAGAGTCAGTGTATTTTATTATGTTGTCAAAATTTAGTCGCTCAAGTTTCTTCAGTATCAGACAGTGATGGTATATTAAGTTTTCTATCAGGTACATTTAGGGCCTGTTTATCGACCGTTTCAATCGGCTTCAGAGCTGACTTACAAGCTGTTGCCCAGCTAGTTATGAAATAAAGCATGTGTGGCATTATCACAGCATGGAGGTATAGTTTAGCCGATTCTGGAGTCAAGTTATTTCTAATGAATCTGAAGTTTGATAAATTAAATCTCATTCTGTGCACGATCCTGTTTATCTGCTGCTCAAAGCAAAGTTGTGCATCTAGAATAATTCCCAGATATTTAAATACCTGAACTACCTTGATTATATACATCAGGATTATTGTCGATACTTTGATCAATCAATCAATCAACTTTGTTTCTACAGTACATTTAAAAGAACCCAAGGGAAGCCAAAGTGCTGAACAATGACACATAAAAACAAATGAAACAATCAAAGAACAAGATAAAGCGAGCAGAGATACATTAATGCAAACGCATCAGTGTTTTTGAAAAGTACAGACAGTTTGGTTTGTTACAAACGTCAGAGATGTAGTTATGATACAGGCCGCTGTCACACGTTAAAAATAACCGAAAGGATTTCTTAGTCGTACTTGTGAATTATAATCCTACCTGATCTGGTTTTTGGAGGAACATAATAAAGGCATAGTTGCTCGTTATCTGTTAACTCTGTTTGGCTCTAGTGAAAGTCTAGACCATAGACTGTCTCTAGAATAGACGCCCACTGTCTCCTCGCTCTGAGAACAGCGCCCTCTGGTGACGGGCTGCAGTATAGGTCCTAAACCCCGCCTCCTTATGGAGCTGTGGACAAACTTACTGTCAGACTGGTTTGTGCTCAAGTCCTCTTTTTTTCTGTACAGCTCCATTTTTAAAAGTTATTAGGGGGTTCATGTTTTCTATGATTGACACCTGATACAGCCAATGGGAGGACAGGGATTGAGTAGATCACCCGGGGGATACAAGTGTCACCACAGCGACTCTTCCGCCGAATGTGAACAACGCTACTGAACAATGTTGGTTTCAGGAAGTGGAGAAAAAATGCAGAAATACTGAGAACTTTTCAGCTTCAGATCTGTAAACTGGAGGAAGGAGGAACCAAGTTGTCTATGGTATAAACTGTATATATATATATATTTATTTATATACTACTATACTAATATACCATATACTACTATATACTGTATATACTATAGACAACTTGGTTCCTCCTTCCTCTGAAGGCGAAACGTCTCAAGTAAGTCCAGTTGTTGTTGGTTTTTAACACTTGGTGGGTTGTACTGAAGTTTATTTTTTACTGATCCAAAGCTGCCGTTCAGAGGTGAACTGTTTAAAATGATCAGCAGTAAAATAAGTTTTTACTCCTATCAACAGAAACCCCTCTCCAAAGATGTTCCCTGGTATTCTGCTCCGTTAATCCGACAGCTGCAGTCTGCCGCTTCTTTACGTAATGGGATCTCAAATGTAAACCACATGATAAGCTTATAAAATATGAAACCACTTAAAAATACATGAAGAGCACGCACAGACGAGGATACAGTACAATCAGCTTTGTTTGCCTGTGACATGGATCCAAGAAAATCAATCAGTAACTGTCATTTCTGTGAATCTGTGTTCAGTCCTGATCCGTTCACATTGATTCATCCTCCTTTATCCCACTTCATATTCTGAGGCAGGAATATTGCTGTTGAGGAGCTTCACTGCGTCATCGTGTCATTTTTCTGAACAACAGCAGGAACCAGCAGCAGGTCTTTGGTGGTTCATCAGTCATCTCTGTGTCGCTGTCCGTGGTGCTGAACCTGCTGCTGCTGAACCAAACTCAGCTCAGAACCTATCAGTACCTGGTACAGGAGAGTCCTCTAGAGGCTGTCTGCAGAAGTACACTTAAAGGGATATTCCGGCGTAAAATTAAGTTAGGGTCAAACAATCCAAGAAAACTGAGTTAGACCCCCCCTCCAGAGATGAATGTTGTCGACCGCTTTCTTCTCTAGTTATACCAACTTTAGTAACGACCGCAGGATAGAAATACAGAGAGCCACGCCCCCAACCAAAACGCCACTCTATAGCCACAAATAATGCTCAGAACAGCACCTAACTTCATCAACAGGACATATAGGGTCACAGACATAGTACTAGACACCAAACATCTTTTTAACTTTGACTCATTTCTTTAGCAAAGAGACTAAACACAACTCACCTACTCTCTTCCAGCAGACGCTTGTTTGTAGTGAGACCTCAGGCCAGTCCATTACGGACTACAGCGGGGTGACTACGTCAAAAAAGACACAAACAACTACAAAGACACGCAAAACAATGACTGGGAGACAAAACAAGCAAAATAACCAAAGTGAAAAAAAAACAACATGAAGATGCAAACTGACCAAAACTAACTCCAAATCACATGGAAAATAACACAAAGGCAAACAAAAACCAACGCAGAGCAAAGAGTCATGTTAGAGAGACGAAACTACAAAGAGACACAGAGACAGACATCTAAAGTTAAGAAGGTTCAACACCATCAGAAAGAGACACAAAGTGTTAACAGACACAACAACAAAGCACCGTTTTTACCGAGGAGTCAAAAGGCCGACCGGTAACACGTAACAATAACCATAATTTATTAACGGTAAATAGATAGTTTATTCATGTAGGTTAATAGTTACTTTACTATTAACGAGCAATGAAATCATGATTAATGATTTTCATTAATTATTAATAGACTATTAATTAAAGGTTTATATTGGGTTTAAATATTAGTTGTCAAACATCTATATTAAAATGTTTGTCAGCAGCACTTTGTAAATGATTAATATTTGGTTTATAAACCATCTATGAACATGACAGAGATGGTTAATGTAAAGTTGGAACTGATGTTTATATTTATGAATATTAAAGGGAGATACAACCAAGATATTTAAACCCTTTATGAACCTTTAATAAATAGTCCATTAAAAATGAATAAAAATTATGAATCATAATTGTGAATAGTAAAGTAACTGTTAACTTACATGAATAAACTATCTATTCACCATTAATAATTGATGGTTAAACATTGATAAACTGTCTGTTTACAATTTATAAATGATGATATAAGATTAATAAACTATCTGCTACAACTATAAATGTTCTATTTACCATTTACAGGTTATGATTATTGTAAAGTTATTGGTTATCGTAAAGTGTCGTTACCTTAATTCTCTGGTTTATCATGTTTGTCGGGCCGACATCATTTTTAAAGGCCTGATCTCGTCTAAAACAGCCTCACGTCTATCTCCCTCTCTCTCTTTTTGTCCTCTCCAGGCCTCCGTACAGAGACATGAAGAAGCAGCAGTTTACAGTCAGCGGGTTTCAGACTTTATTAATAACACGGCTCCATCCCATCGGGTCAACGTCAGCCCTTCTTTGACATCATTTTCTGGTCACCAAACTACCCAGCAGATGGTGTGTTCAATGACTGAAAGATTTCCAATAGCAACACGCTCAGGTTATTGATTAGACCAATATTTACCAGCTGAATGCTCAAAGCGTGAGAGTGTGATGAAGCCGGCGGCGTGTAAAGAGGTCAGAGACGGCTTCAGTCCTACGAGACGGTCCTGAAAAGACGAGCAACAATTAGCTGAGGAGAGAGCAGAGTGGGATCAATGAGCTCACAGAGCGCCGGTTATCAGGGAAACAGATTGCTGAGTGACCAGATTTGAGTCTGAGAGGAGGAGGAGGAGGAGGAAGAAGAGGGGGAGGAGGTGAGGGAGGAGGGAGTGAAATGAGGCTGGATAATTAGGAGGAGCAGGCTGAATCCCCACAGGGAGAGAGCAGCCAGATCCGAACACGCAGCTCTTCCACCATCCCTCCGTCTCTATCTCTTTAAGAGCTCAGAGTGTGTGTGTGTGTGTGTGTGAGTGTGTCTGTGTGTGAGTGTGTGTGTGTGTGGGGGAGGGGTATTGGCTGGGGTGGAACAGTCCTGTAATGAGCAGATTTTAGAGAGAGAGAGAGAGAGAGCGAGGCCAACAAACAGAGGAGGACGGATGACTTGGTGGAATCGGGATAAAACAAAAAGATCAGCGATCAAACGATGAAGAGGACGGAGGGAGGAAGAGGAGAGGAGACCTTCAGTTCCTGATTTTTCCCGTCACACCTTCAGGAGGAGAGAGCTTCATCTTCTCATCACCGCCGAGCGGAGGAGAGGAAATAAGAGGAGAGATATTCCCTCTCCGTGATGTCTGCTGAGGTGTGTGTGTGCGTGTGTGTGTGTGCTGTGGATGTGTGTGTCTGAGCGTTAGCCTGGATTGCTTGTTTCCAGGCCATGCTACAGAGAAATTTCTCCGACTGCTCTGATTTTTTTGAGTGCAGCATCACCTCGTCTCCCCCTCTCCTCCTGTCGATGCTGCAGCGGCGGCGGCGGCGGCGCTCAGGTGTCTGAATGTTCAGATTTTTCGGATGTTTGGACGCTGTGATGTCTGACTGAGCTCTCGCTAGCTTCCCGCTCTCAGGGCCTCTGGGACTGCCGGAGAAGCCTAGGCCTCGCTCGTCTGCATCGCCCCGCTTCATAGCCGAGGCGACGGGCCGGCGAGCTGCCGGGCTGCGAGGCTGCGTGGAGCAGGAAGGTGGAGGAGGAAGTGGAGGAGGAGGAGGAGGAGAAACACTCTGAGCCTGCATGCCCATGGGAAGCAGCATGCACAGCAGCCGCCTTCGTCACCCCACATCCACCGCTGAGGCTGAGACTGCTTCTCCATCGTGAGGTGATGCTGTTCCAGAAACATCCCGCTGTTTTCCAGACGAGGAGCTGCTGTGATACATCGTAAACTGAGAGGAGCAGAGGAGCGGAGGAGAGGAGGAGCGGAGGCCTGCAGCTCCATGCTAACAGATCCAGACGAGGCCTCCTCCCTCTCGGCTCCCTCGGAGTGAACGGGCTGTTTCTTCTCTTCTTGACGTTCTAAGGATTTGCCTAAACCTGTTTCATGCATGTCCACTGGAGGCAGGTTTGACTTTGATGACGGGGGGTCGTACTGCGGGGGGTGGGAGCAGGGGAAGGCCCATGGCAGAGGGGTCTGCACGGGGCCCCAGGGTCAGGGCGAGTACGCCGGGGCCTGGAGTCACGGGTTTGAGGTCCTGGGCGTTTACACGTGGCCCAGCGGAAACAGCTACCAGGGCACCTGGGCGCAGGGCAAGAGGCATGGCATCGGGGTGGAGAACAAGGGCCGCTGGGAGTACAGGGGGGAGTGGACGCAGGGGTTCAAAGGTCGCTACGGGCAGCTGGAGAGCACAGCCAGCGGGGCTCGATACGAGGGGACGTGGAGCAACGGGCTGCAGGACGGATACGGCACCGAGACCTACTCTGATGGAGGTAAGACAGAAGGACAGGAGTGTTCTGAAACTAACCAAACCCTCCACAGGTACCGGGAAAAACCGAGTCAGTCCGGTCCGGTCCGGTCCGGTCCGACTTTCAGATCCAAACATCTCTCAATGTTCCACAGACTGAGTTTCAGACTTACTTACTGAGCCTCTCTAACACAGCTCCAGGCCTCATATAGAACATGTAGGTCAGGACCTGCACAGATCACCCACAGGTGTTCAGGCGTCCCGGGGGTCCGAATTTAGTCAGATGAGCCCCAAGTAAAACCCAAAGTGAGGAGCAGGAGTCTGCTGGAGGTCAAAGTTCAAACAGAAAGTTCCTCCTCATCTCCAACAAGAACTAAAAACTGGAATAAACAGACAGAAACACACAGAGGCTCATCAGCAGGAGACACGAAACAGAGACAAAGACACGCAAAACAACTACAGAGAAAAAAAACCAAAACTACATCAAAGACAAAAAACAACTACAAAGACACGCAAAACAACTACAGAGAAAAAAACAAAACTACATCAAAGACAAAAAAACAACTACAAAGACACACAAATTTACATCAAAGATACAAAACAACTACAAAGACACACAAAACAACTACAGCGAAAAAAACAAAACTACATCAAAGACAAAAAACAACTACAAAGACACACAAATCTAAGTTAAAAAAGATACAAAACAACTACAAAGACACACAAATCTAAGTTAAAAAAGATACAAAAAAACTACAAAGAGACACAAAACAACAACTAGATGACAAACAAGCAAAATAACCAAAGTGAAAAAAATCAACTGAAAGATTCAAACTGACCAAAACTAACTCCAAATCACATGGAAAATAACACAAAGGCAAACAAAAATCTATGCAGAGCAAAGAGTCATGTTAGAGAGACAAAACGACAAAGATACAAAGGGACAGACATCTAAACTTAAGAAGGTTCAACACCATCAGAAAGAGACACAAAGTGTTAACAGACACAACAACAAAGCACCCAAACAGTTTTACTGATACAAGGTTTAAGTAAAAACTACAAAGAAGCACAGAACAACAAATGGAAACACAACACTACCACAAAAATGGACCGAAAAAAACAACAAAGTGATGCAGACATCTATGGAGAGGCCAAACTAGATCGAAGAATAAAGCAAACTGACAACAAGATGATTAAAATGAACTAAAAGGAAATGTTTTTTTAACTGAGACACAAAACAACTACAAAGAAACACTAAACAACTACAGAGACACAAAACAACATCAAAGAGAATCAAAACAACGACAAAGAGACACTAAACAACTACAAAGAAACAATAAACAACTACAGAGACACAAAACAACATCAAAGAGAATCAAAACAACGACAAAGAGACACTAAACAACTACAAAGAAACAATAAACAACTACAGAGACACAAAACAACATCAAAGAGAAAAATAGCAAACACAAAGACACAAACAACTACAAAGAGACACAAAACAACTACAAACATGAGAAACATGAGACAGACTACCCCTCTAAAAATGAACTTTTGTGTTGATGTTCAGATCTCTGCTGAATAAATTTAGTTCCTTTAATTTCATAAATCTCTTCAGTGGACACAGATCTTAAACTGAGGACAGTTTAAGATCTGTAGAGTTAAAGTGTTTAAATCCAGTTAAAGTGTTTAAATCCATGTCTCCATGTTCGTCTTCCTGTCCGGTCTCTCAAACATGGTGGACGGGAAAGGAGGCCGAGCGTCTAAGAATAGAAATTAAACCATGTTGAAATCTCATCACTGTTTATAAAAACACACCTTCACCTCTCTGCATCACACCCGCTGTCTCCATGGCGACGCGGAGACAGCAGGTCAGCGTGTCGCTGGAGACCAGCTGCTCTCTGATTGGCTACCTGCCTCCGTTAAAGGTGTTTAATGTAGGCCGTTTGATAACCGCCCCGCCCCCCCCCCACCGCACCGCCTCCGAGCCCCGCAGGACCCGGATGATGAAGGAGGTCAATAAGTGATGCGGTGTGTGTGTGTGTGTGTGTGTGTGTGTGGAGGCTGTTTTCTAACGGCTCCCAGCGCGAGCGTTAGGGCTCAAAAACGTCACACCTACGGCCCGAGCACGAGCCTGAAACAGCAGAAACAAAGATGGAGGCGGAAACATGAAAAAAAAAAACACTGCGTCACGAGACAGCTCGTCTTCCGATCACGTGGACGACCGCCGACAGATGAATATAGCACGCACGAGCTGACACATTTTCCACAACCCAGTAACTGTTACACACACACACACACACACACACACACACACACACACACACACACACACACAAATGGAGAGTTTGACAAAATTAATGACAGACTCATAATGAGGGAGAGTCCGGACGGTTCTGTTTCAGAACCACGGACAGCTCCGGGTCACTCACACACACACACACACACACACACACACACACACACACACACACACACACACACACACACATCAGAAACTTTTATGAAATACTTTAAAATTCAAACCAAGAAAATTTAGTTTTTATAAAAAAATCCTTTAAAGACTCAAATCTTTGACATAAATACATCATTTTATCGAGTAAAGTGTATCTTAGAGCAGATGATCTGAGGACGACAACGACTGAAGTTACTCATACAGAAAATATCAAATTACACAAAATAAAAATGTGACTTATTTCTGCATTCAGAGCAAATTCAGAAGAACAAAAGTGAGAAAACATCAAATTAAACAAAATAAAGACCAAAAACAATCATGTAATTTTACTGCATCAGGACACATTAATAAGAAACCGAGGAGGACCACAACATGCCTTTCAAAATAAGATATTTTTCAAAATAAAAGACATGTCAAACATCAGATCCACATTAAATATCTATTTTTTGACCAGCTGTTCTCGACCCATCCAGAACGTGACCCACTTTTGGGTCGGGACCCACCAGTTGAGAACCACATATATATAGAATAGACGCCGTCTGTCTCCTCTCTCTGAGAACAGCGCCCTCTGTTGACGGGCTGCAGTATAGGTCATAAACCCCGCCTCCTTATGGAGCTGTGGACAAACTTTCTAAATGAATGACACAGAATATAAATGTTTCTCCCCCCTGGTTGTGATGTTGACATGTAGTTACTGTCAGACTGGTTTGTGCTCAAGTCCTCTTTTTTCTGTACAGCTCCATTTTTAAAAGTTATTAGGGGGTTCATGTTTGCTATGATTGACACCTGATACAGCCAATGGGAGGACAGGGATTGAGTAGATCACCGGGGGATACGCTGTTTGAGCCGAGCGTCATCACAGCGACCCTCCCGCTGAATATGTACGACGCTACTGAACAAAGTTGGTTTCAGGAAGTGGAGAAAATAATGCAGAATTACCGAGAACTTTTCAGCTTCAAATCTGTATACTGGTGGAAGGAGGAACCAAGTCCAGAGTAAATACAGTCTGTGGTGGTGACGCTCTGGAGGATGTAGAATATTCTGGAATATCACCAAACATTCTGTAACATCAAAGACATTCTAAAAGATCAATAACATTCTATGACATCACAGACATTCTAAAAGATCAATAACATTCTATAACATCAAAGACATTCTAAAAGATCAATAACATTCTATAACATCAAAGACATTCTAAAAGATCAATAACATTCTATAACATCAAAGACATTCTAAAAGATCAATAACATTCTATAACATCAAAGATATTCTTAAAGATTAGTAAGATTCCGGAATGTTTCAGAAAATTTTGGACTTTTGGAAACATACTGGAACAGTCAAGGGGGTTCATGTTTTCTATGATTGACACCTGATACAGCCTATGGGAGGACAGAGATTGTGTAGATCACCGGCATGTTTGAGCCGAGCGTCATCACAGCGACTCTCCCGCTAAATTCGAACAACGCTACTGAACAATGTCGGTTTGAGGAAGTTTCTTACCAACCTCAGGACACTGCTGTCTGTCATACGTAGATGTATATCGCCTATGAAGTGGTTGTCCAACAATTTTTGAGCAGATGTTCAGTTGTTGCAGCAGTTGTGCTTTTAGGGCTGCAGACAAACATCCATACCATGTGGTCCTACAGTACTGAAGAACACTCATAATAACAGAAGTCAAAAACTAAAGAAGGATCTGTCTACTAC